AATTCCAACTTTAATCTCAGAATTCCAGCTTTAATCTCAGAATTCCAACTTTAATCTCAGAATTCCAACATTGATCCCAGAATTCCAACTTTTTATCTCAGAATTACGACTTTTATCTCAGAATTCCATCCTTGATCTCAGAATTCCAACTTTTTATCTCAGAATTCCAACTTTGATCCCAGCAGAATTCCGACTGTTATCTCAGAATCCCAACCTTTATCTCAGAATTCCACTTGTGATCCCAGAATTCCAACTTTTTATCTCAGAATTCTAACTTTGATCCCAGAATTCCAACCTTTTATCTCAGAATTCCAACTTTTTTATCTCAGAATTCCAACTTTTTATTTCAGAATTCCGACTTCTATCTCCCAAGGATTCTTGGATGAACTTCAAAATTCCTAGATTTAAATAAGAATTCAGACTTCAATCTCAGAATTCTGCCTTTTTATTCAGAATTCTGAGTTTTCAGTCAGGATTCTGATTTTGATCTCAGAACTTCAATTTTACCTCAGAATTCCAACTTTAATCTCAGAATTCCAGCTTTAATCTCAGAATTCCAACTTTAATCTCAGAATTCCAACATTGATCCCAGAATTCCAACTTTTTATCTCAGAATTCCGACTTTTATCTCAGAATTCCATCCTTGATCTCAGAATTCCAACTTTTTATCTCAGAATTCCAACTTTGATCCCAGCAGAAATCCGACTGTTATCTCAGAATCCCAACCTTTATCTCAGAATTCCACTTGTGATCCCAGAATTCCAACTTTTTATCTCAGAATTCTAACTTTGATCCCAGAATTCCAACCTTTTATCTCAGAATTCCAACTTTTTTATCTCAGAATTCCAACTTTTTATTTCAGAATTCCGACTTTTATATCAGAATTCGAACCTTGATTTTAGAATTCCAACTTTTTATCTCAGAATTCCAACTTCGATCCCAGAATTCCAACTTTTTATCTCAGAATTCCAACTTCGATCCCAGAATTCCAACTTTTTATCTCAGAATTCCAACTTTGATCCCAGAATTCCAACTTTTTATCTCAGAATTCCGACTTCTATCTCCCAAGGATTCTTGGATGAACTTCAAAATTCCTAGATTTAAATAAGAATTCAGACTTCAATCTCAGAATTCTGCCTTTTTATTCAGAATTCTGAGTTTTCAGTCAGGATTCTGATTTTGATCTCAGAACTTCAATTTTACCTCAGAATTCCAACTTTAATCTCAGAATTCCAGCTTTAATCTCAGAATTCCAACTTTAATCTCAGAATTCCAACATTGATCCCAGAATTCCAACTTTTTATCTCAGAATTACGACTTTTATCTCAGAATTCCATCCTTGATCTCAGAATTCCAACTTTTTATCTCAGAATTCCAACTTTGATCCCAGCAGAATTCCGACTGTTATCTCAGAATCCCAACCTTTATCTCAGAATTCCACTTGTGATCCCAGAATTCCAACTTTTTATCTCAGAATTCTAACTTTGATCCCAGAATTCCAACCTTTTATCTCAGAATTCCAACTTTTTTATCTCAGAATTCCAACTTTTTATTTCAGAATTCCGACTTTTATATCAGAATTCGAACCTTGATTTTAGAATTCCAACTTTTTATCTCAGAATTCCAACTTCGATCCCAGAATTCCAACTTTTTATCTCAGAATTCCAACTTCGATCCCAGAATTCCAACTTTTTATCTCAGAATTCCAACTTTGATCCCAGAATTCCAACTTTTTATCTCAGAATTCCGACTTCTATCTCCCAAGGATTCTTGGATGAACTTCAAAATTCCTAGATTTAAATAAGAATTCAGACTTCAATCTCAGAATTCTGCCTTTTTATTCAGAATTCTGAGTTTTCAGTCAGGATTCTGATTTTGATCTCAGAACTTCAATTTTACCTCAGAATTCCAACTTTAATCTCAGAATTCCAACTTTAATCTCAGAATTCCAACCTTTATCTCAGAATTCCAACATTGATCCCAGAATTCCAACTTTTTACCTCAGAATTCCGACTTTTATCTCAGAATTCCATCCTTGATCTCAGAATTCCAACTTTTTATCTCAGAATTCCAACAACTTTTATTTCAGAATTCCGACTTTTATATCAGAATTCGAACCTTGATTTTAGAATTCCAACTTTTTATCTCAGAATTCCAACTTCGATCCCAGAATTCCAACTTTTTATCTCAGAATTCCAACTTCGATCCCAGAATTCCAACTTTTTATCTCAGAATTCCAACTTTGATCCCAGAATTCCAACTTTTTATCTCAGAATTCCGACTTCTATCTCAGAATTCCAACCTTTATCTCAGAATTCCAACATTGATCCCAGAATTCCAACTTTTTATCCCAGAATTCCAACTTTGATCCCAGAATTCCAACTTTTTATCTCACAATTCCAACTTTGATCCCAGAATTCCAACTTTTTATCTCAGAATTCTGTCTTTTATCTCAGAATTCCAACTTTGATCCCAGAATTCCAACTTTTTATCTTAGAATTCCGACTTTTATCTCAGAATTCCAACCTTGATCTCAGAATTCCAACTTTGATCTCAGAATTCTGCCTTTTTATTCAGAATTCTGAGTTTTCAGTCAGGATTCTGATTTTGATCTCAGAACTTCAATTTTACCTCAGAATTCCAACTTTAATCTCAGAATTCCAGCTTTAATCTCAGAATTCCAACTTTAATCTCAGAATTCCAACATAGATCCCAGAATTCCAACTTTTTATCTCAGAATTCTGACTTTTATCTCAGAATTCCATCCTTGATCTCAGAATTCCAACTTTTTATCTCAGAATTCCAACTTTGATCCCAGCAGAATTCCGACTGTTATCTCAGAATCCCAACCTTTATCTCAGAATTCCACTTGTGATCCCAGAATTCCAACTTTTTATCTCAGAATTCTAACTTTGATCCCAGAATTCCAACCTTTTATCTCAGAATTCCAACTTTTTTATCTCAGAATTCCAACTTTTTATTTCAGAATTCCGACTTTTATATCAGAATTCGAACCTTGATTTTAGAATTCCATCTTTTTATCTCAGAATTCCAACTTCGATCCCAGAATTCCAACTTTTTATCTCAGAATTCCAACTTCGATCCCAGAATTCCAACTTTTTATCTCAGAATTCCAACTTTGATCCCAGAATTCCAACTTTTTATCTCAGAATTCCGACTTCTATCTCCCAAGGATTCTTGGATGAACTTCAAAATTCCTAGATTTAAATAAGAATTCAGACTTCAATCTCAGAATTCTGCCTTTTTATTCAGAATTCTGAGTTTTCAGTCAGGATTCTGATTTTGATCTCAGAACTTCAATTTTACCTCAGAATTCCAACTTTAATCTCAGAATTCCAACTTTAATCTCAGAATTCCAACCTTTATCTCAGAATTCCAACATTGATCCCAGAATTCCAACTTTTTACCTCAGAATTCCGACTTTTATCTCAGAATTCCATCCTTGATCTCAGAATTCCAACTTTTTATCTCAGAATTCCAACAACTTTTATTTCAGAATTCCGACTTTTATATCAGAATTCGAACCTTGATTTTAGAATTCCAACTTTTTATCTCAGAATTCCAACTTCGATCCCAGAATTCCAACTTTTTATCTCAGAATTCCAACGTCGATCCCAGAATTCCAACTTTTTATCTCAGAATTCCAACTTTGATCCCAGAATTCCAACTTTTTATCTCAGAATTCCGACTTCTATCTCAGAATTCCAACCTTTATCTCAGAATTCCAACATTGATCCCAGAATTCCAACTTTTTATCCCAGAATTCCAACTTTGATCCCGGAATTCCAACTTTTTATCTCACAATTCCAACTTTGATCCCAGAATTCCAACTTTTTATCTCAGAATTCTGTCTTTTATCTCAGAATTCCAACTTTGATCCAGAATTCCAACTTTTTATCTTAGAATTCCGACTTTTATCTCAGAATTCCAACCTTGATCTCAGAATTCCAACTTTGATCTCAGAATTCTGCCTTTTTATTCAGAATTCTGAGTTTTCAGTCAGGATTCTGATTTTGATCTCAGAACTTCAATTTTACCTCAGAATTCCAACTTTAATCTCAGAATTCCAGCTTTAATCTCAGAATTCCAACTTTAATCTCAGAATTCCAACATTGATCCCAGAATTCCAACTTTTTATCTCAGAATTCCGACTTTTATCTCAGAATTCCATCCTTGATCTCAGAATTCCAACTTTTTATCTCAGAATTCCAACTTTGATCCCAGCAGAATTCTGACTGTTATCTCAGAATCCCAACCTTTATCTCAGAATTCCACTTGTGATCCCAGAATTCCAACTTTTTATCTCAGAATTCTAACTTTGATCCCAGAATTCCAACCTTTTATCTCAGAATTCCAACTTTTTTATCTCAGAATTCCAACTTTTTATTTCAGAATTCCGACTTTTATATCAGAATTCGAACCTTGATTTTAGAATTCCAACTTTTTATCTCAGAATTCCAACTTCGATCCCAGAATTCCAACTTTTTATCTCAGAATTCCAACTTCGATCCCAGAATTCCAACTTTTTATCTCAGAATTCCAACTTTGATCCCAGAATTCCAACTTTTTATCTCAGAATTCCGACTTCTATCTCAGAATTCCAACCTTTATCTCAGAATTCCAACATTGATCCCAGAATTCCAACTTTTTATCCCAGAATTCCAACTTTGATCCCAGAATTCCAACTGTTTATCTCACAATTCCAACTTTGATCCCAGAATTCCAACTTTTTATCTCAGAATTCTGACTTTTATCTCAGAATTCCAACTTTGATCCCAGAATTCCAACTTTTTATCTTAGAATTCCGACTTTTATCTCAGAATTCCAACCTTGATCTCAGAATTCCAACTTTGATCTCAGAATTCCAACTTCGATCCCAGAATTCCAACTTTATATCTCAGAATTCCAACTTTAATCCCAGAATTCCAACTTTTTATCTCAGAATTCCAACCTTGATCTCAGAATTCCAACTTTTTATCTCAGAATTCTGACTTTGATCTCAGAATTTTGACTCGGACTCAGAATTTTTTAAAAAACGTTGTCAGAGCAAAACAAACAATCGAAAACAAAATTTGACCTTATTTTTTACTCAGAACTTTTCTTTATGAGTGGCCCTCATCCTTTTCAGTATACTAGAAACCCTAAACTTGGGGCTCCAGAACAACAGTCCATCTACTGGTGAATGAAATCACAGAGGTTATGTCCACTTCTCTTCTACAGACTTTGGTTTGTCATGTTTTACCAAGGACATGTTTCACATTCCTTTTGAGAACACAAATGATTACAGTTTTTCATCCAGTATTTGCTTTGGCATTACACCCTTGTCTCCAGCATTAAAAAAACCACTGCAGTGGTTCTGCTTTTGTTTCAAGTTACCTCTCCAGAGACTGAATCACAAATTGTCTACAGCACAGACATAAGAACTCTCCGTTTATGAGTTAATGAACATGTTTGAAAGCCTCCTTAACTTTACATTGCCAACAAAGGAAAACACTGTGCAATGTTCTCCTTTATGTCATGTTTATGTCCAACACCTTAAACTCTCCTGTGCTCAGCTCTCTCTCCATTCTGCTCAGACTCATCTGGTTCTCATTAGCCCAGCACTGCCGGCTGGAATGTGTTTGCGCTTTTAAAAATGAGTTATTTGCCCATTAATATGTACTTCAGCCTGACACTATTTCAGAAAAGACCCTGAGTGGAAAAACACAGGGATGTTTGTGGTCAGAAAGCCAAAGTCCTTTTGGATCTAAATATAAATGTGATTAATGATTAGATGGTACAAGGTTTTTATCTGCCTGATATGCTGGCATCTAAACTGACGTTTAAACCATTTCAAGATAAGCTAAATCAGCAGTGGCTTTCATGACACCTCAAACAAAAACGTGTACAGTCAAGACTTTGGCTTAAAACTTTTATTTAAATATCAAATATGAAGTAATTATGTTCCATATTAGCAGTACTCCTCACTGTCGGTGTCTCCTCTGCACACAGCTCCCAGCAGCCCCTCTGTGTTACAGCCGCGTGTCCGTCTGCGTTTCTCCCCGCTACAGTTCGACCAGCTTGACCAGCATGACCAGTTACCTTCCTCATTGACATCTGGTCTACCACCTGTGAAACATTGCCCAAGTTTTACCAAGGCACCTGACTCGCTTTGTTCATGTATTTTGGCGTACCTGTTTGGAGTCTTACCTGGAGAATCTGCTTTATCACCCTTAAAATTCTGGCAAGCCAAGCCTTCAAACAGATGTGGGCACAGACACATACACTTCCCATTCAACAGCGTCAGAGTGCCCCCGTTATGACAGGGTCTACACTTGCACACACTGTACTCTGCCTCATAGTCTGTTGTGGCCCTCCTCAGGTTGGTTATCCTGGCGTTAGCGCCCGGCATGTCAATGGGAATTAAGTTGTAGATGGGCTCCGGCTGCAAACAACAAATCAAAACAAGAGAAATATGCGTTATTGTACGAGTGTTATGCTAGCAGCTTCATGAGATTGCCCTTGTTCTGTTTTTTTGCTGCATGAGAGAGGAGAACTTCAAAACGCAACAACAGGAAACCCTCAAGTGTCAAATTAAAGAACTGAAAAAACGAAAAAGTGTGTGTGAAAAATATTCATGATTTTGTGAAAGGAAATTGAAGTGTTGCATGATGCCTCATCTGGTAGCCTCCTTTGTAATTTTCTCAATAAAAAAGTCACTATGCATGTCTTGAAAACCGCAGACCTTCAAAAAAACAGTTCCAGTCGACATTTCTAGACATCATCGTCATTGTGTGACATCTATGATAACATTGTTAGAAGCTCAGTCCACCAGCGTATACCTACCTCACTGTAAATCAGTGCCGGGGCGTCAGCGATGCTCCTGGCCCAGTTCTGATAGGTATCAATGTCCATCACTCCGTCCTTGTTTAATTTAGCCCTCATTACAACAGCACTCTGGAGATCTCCTCCTTTCACTGAAGTCATCACTCTGTCCACCACTGCTTTTCCATAAATACTACCTGCACAGCAAAAGAAGAAGATCTTTGAGCAACAGTTCGTACTTTAATGCAAAGGTGTTATGTTAAAAAAAAATCTGCTATATGTTGTTCAGTTTTTCTTATCTATGTGCTTGCAGGAAACACACCTTCTTCTTTGTTGGTAACATCCTCACAGTTGTCAGATTTGACGTGACCTTTCAGTTTCGAGTCACTTGTTGTTTTGCGGTTAGGGTCAGGGTTAGGGTTAGGGTTAGGGTTAGGGTCATGAGTTGTATCACGGTCTACTGTAACACCTGTGATACCAAGGTCTGCTGTGATGCCCATTCTGACACATTCTTGAATTGTCCGCATTGTAATATCTGCAACAACCATGAAAAATAGAGAATGAGTACCTGACACTTTTCAGTCCGGTCAAATCTCTTGATATATGACTTGATTTTGAATTACACTGGTGTGCACGTACTTTTGGCCTTGATGCTGTCTTGGTTGAGAACATAAATAAACTCATATTCTCCCCCAGATTTCCCGTTTTTGGTGTAGTGGGTTCCATAGTCCTCCAGGAAGGCAAAATAAATTCCCTTTTCATATTCCAAAGGCAAAGACTTGACATGCAGGAGGAAATCCTCAGCCACTTGGACATTTAGGGAGCGGAGTCTGTAGGTGCTCAGTTGGACTCTTCCTTTTACCCGCATGAAGCTCTTGTTCTGTGTGTGGGAAGAGTTGTTTCAAAAAAGATCGACTAAGTTTTGTCTTTTTGTAGTCGGGTTAACACGCTTGTCTTTGGCTGATATTTACCTTGACATTGGAGTACTCTGAGATCTCCTTTATCATTTCTTTCTTCTCAAATTGACTGGTCAAATCCAAACTTGGAGAAACACCTGCCTGATTGTCCAAACCCGATTTATCTGGAGATTTATTTGACATGGTCTCCTCACTCAGGCTGAGTTTAAAAGACAGTCCAATATCAAGTTTGGATGTCATCTCTTTCAGCATTTCTCTCAGAAGGCTGTGAGTGTCCTCGTAGATTTCTCTGGAAATAGTTTCTTCCACCATAGTCTAGAGAGGTAGGGAACCAAAGTGTTAAAAGAGGACACTTTCTCCTAAATTCTAGCAGACCAATTTTATAGTCATGATCACACACAGAGAAATTAAACCGATATCAATCTGGCTAACCTGATAATTGAGCACGCCGATGTTCCAGGGAAGTCTGTCGAATCGTCCGGTGTTTGGGTTCCTCACTCGATCACACCTCCCGTTGAAGAAATCATTGTTGAAGGGGTTCATTCGAGGATCTGCGCCCAAGAGGTTGGTTCTGATGCATGAACAGGAGGTAACTTATCAGATTTTACAATTTCCTTACATACGCCATTTAGCTCTATGTTATTTCTTCTCACCCGTATCCTGCTGTCCTGCCTTGCTCGTTGTTCTCCAGCGGTGGTTGACAGATCGAACGAGCGTTATCGCAATCCTCATCTGATCCATCTTCACAGTCGTAGTCCCCATTGCACACTAATCTTTTCTTCACGCAAGTGCCTGAAGAAGGTTCAGAGTTAAACTAACAGGTCCATGAAAATTGAAGTAAATAAAGAAGTCAAGTCACCTGACTCGCACTGGAACTCTAACGCGGAGCACTCAGGTGAAGGCGGTTGGTCACACTGGGTGTCTGTTACACAGACCTCCCTGTCCCCTATTGACCCATGGCAGGACTGGCCACCAAACTGGCCGAACGTTTCCACACTTCGGGAACGCCCCTGAGGATACCGATAAAAAAAGGCTTTTAAAAATCAAGCTCCACACTCAAATGTCAGCCTGGTCAGTAAGGAGTGCAAGTGCGTGGAACTCAGTACCTGAGGTGGTTAAACTGCTTTCAACGTACAAAGCATTCACAAAAAAATTGGAAATGTGGCTTATCAACACCTACAGCTGCCAACACTAAAAGTTGTGATGTTTTGATATTATGATAAATTGTTATGTTGTGATGTATTTTTTCTTAATTGTATAGTGAGTGTTTGAATATGTATTTTATATTATAGTGTACATGTATTGTGTTGTTTTTTTCTTTTCTTTTTTTTTTAAATTGTAATTTTACTGCCTTTTTCACATCATGGCCAGGGGACTACAGATGAAAACTGGCCTTATGGCTAATTCTGTCTTTTTTTTAACCATGTGTAATCATGTGTTTTATGAAATTGCGCTGTCCCCTTTTAAATAAACTAATCTAATCTAATCTAATCTAAAAATGTGACTTCAGTTTTTGAAGACTTACTCTTGTCCTGGTGCATGGATTACAAGAACTCCACTCTGACCAGCGGCTCCAGACACAGTTCACTGCTGGTGGATCAGGAAGCACTACTGCCCTGTAAATATTCCAATATGAATGTAAATACTGCACAAAACTAGTGATTGAACTAAAACTGGTATTTTTGTAAATTAAAATGGAAAAATACTCACATTCCCTCTCCAATAAGTGCCACAGTGAGACACAGGCCACAAAAGCCCAGCTGGAGAGCGACCACAGACCTCATTGTGGAGTTTTACAGAGACAAACGCTGTTGAACGTCTGTCATCTGTCTGTAGTCTTTTAAGCGACCTGCCTGTCAATCATTATCAAACTGCAGAAGGAGCGAGCTGTTGTCATCCAAATCAATAGTTTGGATTTTAGAGGCAGTGGTATTGATTTGGAAATTCCCAAAACAGGCAAAATATTTTGTTCTTGTGAGCAAAAAACAAAAAACAAAAAACCCTCCAAAACCCACAATAATAAATACGGGGAAAATTCACTTTCACTTTACTTGCAAAACTTCACATGGTATTTGACAATATGACATTGTTTTGAACACCTGGCCTTTTAATCATGTTTTTACTGACCCATCTATGTCCCTGTGTTTTTACTGTGTCTGTTTTATTGTTCGAGTTGATTGTCTGTTTTTTATTGTTTTTCAATTTTCACTGCACTTTGGTCAGCATTTTGTTGTTTTTAAATGTGATTTATAAATAAACCTGGATTGGATTAACTGTTATTGCTTTTTTCATTATTTTTTTAATATGTGTCATCTTTATTTCAAGAATTCTTGACTATCATTTAAAATTTGTTAATGGTGCTTATCTATCTTTTAATACGATAAAAGCCTTGCAAAACCACTGTTTCTCAAATACTGACAGATTTATGACATCAGATTTTCACCCAACAATTACCATGGCCATAAAATATCATGATAATGATAATATTACAATATTTTTGGAAAACCTGAGAATGAAAAAAACACCATCAGTCAAATTGAGGGTATTTTTCTCTATTTTACGCAAAGGATGCTCTATTTCTTATATTTCTCAAACTGTAAAACCATGCTCTAAGGATACCACTTATGGTAGATCATAAGTTAAGAGGCTGAAAGAAAACAGCAACCACAATAGGTTGAAAGACCAAGTCTTCTATCAGACAGGACAGAATCTCTTAGGCTGTCTTTGCATTCAAAATAAATATTGTAATATCAGTGTGTAAAAGCGCCTACTCACCTCTCAGAGCAGCTGCTACAGCTAGCTTACTAGCAATTGCTTCTAACTTTTCAGTTCTTTGAGGGCGGCTATACGTGTTGGACTAGAGTCTGAAGGACAAATTTCTTCAGTAATAATAAACGGTAAAGTGCATCCCTTGAATCTCATGTATTGAATGCATCATTGTGCATTACACTTTTGTGAGGTGCTGCAACGTATACATATTGTTTTGTATTACATTGTATCTCTTGGAATCAAATCCTATCGTATCACATTATCATATCATATTGTTATCATATTATACTGTATCAAATCTTATACACAATGTAATGTAACGTATTGTAATATATTAACTAAGTGTAATGTGATGTAATGTAACTCAATGCTTTAATTTTGCTATGATCTTAAACTTAACAAAAGAACATCATATCTTCCTGTAATGTAAAACATAATGACAAATCTCATTTGTATCTCAATAGAACGTACTCTGTGGTATTGCACTGTATTTTCCACAGTCTCTCTTCTGTTTCCATTCTGTTGGAAACAACTACAAACTGATGGTGTTACCATAAGACCTTTTTTTTGTTCTATATCCATTTTATGAAAAGATAATCATCATCAACACTGGTATTGTGTCGGCCCTTGCATCATATTTACATTTTACTTTCAATTTTCTCCTTTATTTATATATTTTTTCACTGCTACAACAGCTCTCTTGAATAATAACCAAGTTTGCTATCAGTTTACTCCTCCTACAAATGATACTCATACTTCTACCAGTACTGTGACACTGTAACCACAAGTCTGTATGAGCTGTTGTTAATGTTGTTGGTAACAAATCCCAACACAGTCTCAGCAGGTGGCTGTTTAACATAAATCTTAAAGTTCAAGACCTTCTCTTTTTGTAAAGCATCAGGAAATTCTTATGAATTAGCGCTACGTATGCAGCAACTGGCTGATTGATTGATCAGAAATTATTAAGTCTAGTTTTTGCTTTATTTTTATTTGCTTTCTGACCTTTTCTGGATCATAAGAACCTCAAACTGTCCCCACATGCACTGTGGTGGAAGGTATGGAGTGACTAACAAAATCAAAGTCTGTGTTTCCAAGGTTATACAACCACTCAGGCAGGTTCCCAGCAAAGTAGAGCAAATATTTAAAAAGGCAAGTGTTCAGGTTTGTCATAGATTGACAGGAAATGTCGACAGCACACTGAGGTTAAAGGTCAGGAAACTGAAGAAAATTCAACCTAAAACACATTACAGTTGAATCTGTAATATGCAGTGTTTGAATTCATGCTCTTGCTGAGTGTGAGACGTACACCTATTTGTCCACAAGATGGCAACATTGAACAGATATAACGGTCTCAAGTCATGCGTACCTATGTCTTACACACTTGATACACACTATCTTTACGGTGTATGGTGAATACATATACCAAATTTGGGACTGTTATGGTTTATTGGCTCAAATGTAGACTTATATCTCTCCATGCCGAGCCAAACACTGTTTTCTTTTATGAATATACTTAGCTGGGTCTTGCACAATGCAGAGGAAGTTTTAGACTGTTGCACCTAATGATCTGTCATGTGATCCAAGAGGCTTTTGCTGAGTCTGCAGTACTTTGTTCTTCAAAAGAAGGGAGTGCAGCGAGTGTAAATTACAACAGAGGGAAAACAGAGCAGAGCAGACAGATGTAGCTCTTGTGAATTTACTTTATTTCGTGGAATTTCAGCCAAATGAGCTTGCTATTACTGATCAGGTGAATCATTGAGGCTTAGCAGTGCTGAGAAGTGTCTTCACTCAATCTGTGTGTAAAACTGATGTTAAATTCCTGAATCGGTTCTGCTGACTTAAACAAACACGGTCAGTCTATTCCCTAATGTCTCTAGAGACGATCTGGGGGCTGCCCTGTCCTCGTATCTTCAAGCAGAGCTGGGTTAGTCTCTGGGCTATGCGGTCATGGCCTGTTAGAGAGGTGCAAATATGTGCTGAGGTCACCACTTTTATGAGGTTCGGCAGTTTCCTCCCAGATTGCTCAGGAAACCAGAGGGTAGGTAAGGTGCTTGGCCAATATTTCTCCTGACTAGAAAGACTTCCTGTTTTTTTCATGGGGGAGGATGGAACTGTGTGGAAACACTTGTTAAACAGCATATTGCTCCGCTTTTACTGTAATTCACACCATATATCCTTTAAGGATTTGTCATTGTGTGCGTCACATGTGATGCTGCTGCTTCCTTCTGTATTTTTAGACTGAAATGGTCAAGAGCAGTGAGGCCAGCGAGGAGTTAAAGATAAAATCAAAGACTGGAGATAAGTGGCTATCTTAGGTTCTGGTTGCGGTGGCAGCCGATTCCAGGATTCACGCCCTAAATGCCCCGTGTTTGGATTACAGCCTTCCTGTCATAAACTGGAAAACACACTTCCCATCAGATCTTCTCTGTCAGCGCTCTATCATAGAAATAAACCCTTTAAAGTCTGTGTGCTGACTTGTGCTGTTGTACTCTATTTTTCCTTTTCCTACCACCAGGAACAAGTAGTGTTCAACATATCCTCTTGTGTGTATGTGGGAGTGTGTGTGTGGTTGTGTTTGGCTTTGCACTGAATGACATTTGGAAGAACAGGTAACCACAATTGTCAACTCGCGTCGTCACACTGTGATGATAAAACAGATGGACACGTCATGGAAAGGAGAAGGTCCTGAAATCTTACATCAGAAATCTAGTTTTCTCTTACAGATAATCAGGAACAACATTGGTTCAGGATGGCTGTGTTATCTGTTTTAGGTGCAATGTGTGCATTAAAGGTATTGTGCAACATGTTATCAGTGTTTTTTTTGGTAAGTACTTCATTGTTTACACATTGATTAGTTCTGACTTATAGGACATACTTTGTCTACTGAATACTTTGTATTCATGCAGAACTTGATTCCAAGACAAATTTCACTGGGGGAGACATCAAACTGTTTCACTTGGATCTGTACCAAATGGTACCATATGATATTGATAGTGTAGCATTGCAATGCATCGTATAGCAGCATATTGTTTTAAATGTATCATTGTGCATTTCACTGTATTGGTGCATGCCACATTTGATTACATTTAATCATACTGTGTGGTGTTGCATTGTTTTCAAGTGTTTTCGTGACTAAAACCTCATGGGATAATGAAGTATCTTATCCTATTATACTGTATCCACTTTAACATAATTTAACACAATGTAACGTATCATTATGTAAAGTAACGCAACATAGCATAACCTAGTATTACGTAACATAACATAACATCAAGATTTGATACAGTATGATAGGATAAGATACTTTATGATGCAAGTAACGTCACTTTACATAACAAATTGTTTTTTAGCAATAGCTGGTCATATATATTATACTAAAACTTATGGCATTATATTTAATCTCATCAGCTCAAACTGTATTAAGTATCATGTTATGTCATACTGTACCATATCATATTGAATCAAAACATATATTATAATGTATCATATCATATTTACTGTATTGTATCATGCTGCATCTTGTCATATATCATATCAAATTGTATCATGTCATATTTCATCATAGTATAGTGTCTTGTATAATATCATATTGTATCATAATATATCATATCATATTGTACTGCATCATCTTGTGTTGTAGCCTATTAAACTGTAATATATCATATCATATATCTTTGTATTGTATTATATCAGATTGTATCACACTGTCTCATATCATATTGGATTCCAACAGAGTATCATATCCTATTGTATCATTTCTCATTCTCATTCATCATGTAACATGTTGTAATATTGTGCTAAACTGTATCATATATCATATCATATCATATCATATCATATCATATCATATCGCCTTATTCACACTCCCGGTGTAATGCAGCAGCTATTTTTGAATTCTATACGTTTCATGTAGCACAATTGCATTTCGTTCTGTTTTTGCAATTACGGTCAAAGTCGAAGGTATAATATGTTTAAAAAAGAGGACATGGAAAAGATCATTCCAGCGGTGGAAAACAGACTCTCAGCTCATCAGTAATCTGGCATCTGAGGGGCTCATCTCCTACAAACCAGCTTCTGTCAGCAGAACACAGGATGCAAAGGCAGGAAGGACGTCCTTCCTCTGTCCCTATCTGTCTCAATTCTCATCCTTAAACCGGCTACATACAGTAAACCGTACATCTCTTTAACATCAGAGAGAATCAGAAAATTGAAGTTTTAGAGGATGTCTTAATGACTTCATTGTAAAGATACAGATGTGACTTTTGAGCATTCTCTCATGTCATGGTCGGTTAGGGCTACAAAACTGTGACTCTTAGTTTTCCTTCAAAACATCTGATTTGAGGCAAGCACTGGTTAGAGTTTGCTTGGGGTGAGGTGAGGAGTTCAGATGTTCCTATTCTTGTTTGTGGAAAACTTGGCACAATCAACCAATTCTTTTGGAAAGCTGTACTGTCTTTGTCTCAAAAACATAAAGATGAAGAAAAAAGAAACTGTGTATTTGAGAACTAAATTTAACGCCCATTGTCTGATTATATTCATGATAGAAACCAGTGGTTTGGAGGCACCTTGGTGCTTGGCAATATTTCATTATTCAAGAGAAATAAAAAATATGGCCCAGAGAAAATGATGGTGAGGAAAAGAGAGAAAAATGAGAGAAAGACGAGATGCATGAACGATAATCTGGGGTGGTCAGGTTTTTTTTTTTTAATTAGATTTTTATCTTTAGAGAACAAACTTGCTCTTCATCAGAGTCTAAAGGGCGGCTGTCATCTTGCATTGCAATGAATCTGCAGTGGCACAGAATGGACAAACTCCTAAATATGTTTTTGTATTGAGTGAGTGGCCAAGGAAATGCACTAGTTGGAAGTTTCATATTGTAAAAACTTGATAAATGGTGGATCAAACTTATAATGCATCACATTGGTTTCTTGTCCCTGAAGGCCACCGTTGGAGCAGGGGTGAATAAGGGAGCATTTCAATCTAGTATATGACGCCCAGATATTGCTAAATAAGTTAACTTCTACACACTGTATCTCAAAAACAGTGAAAGACTGAGTGTAAGTAAGTGCAGGTAAACTGTAGGGTAGATGATTGTGCAGATGAAAAGGGTCGTTATATGAATGCCTTAGTGGTTATGTTACTAGTGGTGGAAGTTGGGAATCCCTGGCACATAATCTTATCAAACAGAGGTTTTCTGTTCAAAATTGTGTACATGTTCAGTGGTTCCTGGGTTGGAAAAAAAATTTGAACAAGAAATTGAATATTTGACAGTTTTACTTGGGAAACCACGAGAGTTATTTGAGGAAGGAATGTTACTGTATCAGTTAGCCCTCCATATTGCTCCCAGTGTCACTTTTCCAAAACCAGTTATGGGGTCATTATCCCTCAAACATAACAGTAACAAGCATGGTTATCCATCGTTGTCTTAAGTTGTCTTAAATATTCAGAGAACAATTAACTGCTTGACAATGACACGCTATTGTAGTAAAAATAATAATACACAAAATTACAGAAGCGAAACTTCTTGGTCCATAGGAAGAACAGCACACTGACGTCACTACTCATGTCAAAGTTACTGTTTATTCTGGTTTTGCAACTCTGCAGTTCCAGATAATTTGTCTCTGTTTCTTTGGTTTTATTGTTGAAGAAGCTAAAGTTCCTCGTCTTTGTAACTGAGGCTACCCCTGCTTATGGAAACTACCCAGTTCTTCTCTTAATTATCCCAAACAAACATCAAGTAAAGCTTCTGCAAGCACAATATAAAACACGTCCTGTGTGGCTTCAGGACTTTTCCTCCTGGGAATATCATAACTGGCACTCTGTGCTTACAACAGCAAATATGAAAACTGTCATTACACGGCTGAATCGCCTCATGGTATCTAAGGCAAAACAGACATTTAAACTGAGGAAGTTGATGACCTGTTTTCAGCCATCAGTTTACTGTAATTGCAATAGCATCAGTGCATTGCAAAGGAAATGTAGCGCCTGCCTGGTCTTCAAAAAATCCTGCTGTGTTAGCAGCATTGGAGCTTTCCCTGATTATTTTCTTAACCCTACTTTCTCTATATGTAATGAAATCAAGCTGTCATATAACATTTAATTTGAAAGCCACCAAATACAGTTGACACACATTTTGCAGATCAAGATGGGGTTTACTTTCCTCAGTTTGAGAGGCAGCAGCAAATACAGCTGATTACACTTTCCTGTTTTAAATAGTTTTCAGCATCACTTAAGAGAAACAAAAGAAAACCTCAAAATAAAAGATGCTGTTCTCTTCAGCAGTAACAATGAGACGGAATCAACAGTGCCTATTTTCAGAAATTACACTGAGGCTTTGGAGCAAGGATCACTTGGAAGGATATAACAATAGTAGATTAAAGCTGCAAAAACTTGTTTTGAGCAACTTTGGGAGTTGAATCAAATAATCTTTGCAGATTTGCAATAATAGCTTTCACAAATCCAACAATAACATAGCAGCATTTGCATACACATTGAGTCATGTTTCTTGTGACCCAACTGATATTGATACATATTCACTGCTTTTCAAGACTAGAAATACTGAATAATTACTTTTATTTTGGTCTTTGCCATCTGTTATTTAGCTATTTAGGGCTCCTTAGCTGCTCTTAATACCCAACTAGGCCAAACAGCAATTAGCTGAAAGCAGATAGCTGTACAGTACTGATGAAGTTACAAGTCCTGCCACCAAAACAATAAGCTGAAGAATACTAGCTAGCTAAGAGCCTATCTTACTACCTGTTGCCGTTTCAGGGTTACAATAGAAGAGGAATAGATACAATTTTACAGCGAGATCCGTTTACCAAACAGAGGACTAAAAAAAAATTTACCAATTGAGCTAAAAAAGTTTTAACACATTGGCCAACTATCATAACTATCATAGTTTCAAAATTTCAAAGAAAGCTCAAAAATAAGAACTACAAGCCAAAAGGAGCAAGATTAGATACAGACACTTGTAAAAAAACAAGTCATTGAGGTCGGCCTCTAACAGTAGATGAAAGCAAACTGTAGGACATTACTTTACTGTGAGATATACACTACAGGCCAAAAGTTTGGAAGCAAGGTCATTACAGGCCGAACAGTTGGGAGTTTTTGTTCACAATGCTTTTTTTTTAAATCCAGCATGAGTTTTATGTATTTTGGGATGTATTTACTCCATGATCAGATGTTGCCTTCATGGAAATGCACCATTTTACTCCGTTTACCTTTAGATATACGTTGATGTTAACAGACCATTGCTAAATACACTCACCGGCCACTTTATTAGGTACACCTGTCCAACTGCTCGTTAACACTTAATTTCTAATCAGCCAATCACATGGCGGCAACTTAGTGCATTTAGGCATGTAGACATGGTCAAGACAATCTCCTGCAGTTCAAACCGAGCATCAGTATGGGGAAGAAAGGTGATTTGAGTGACTTTGAACGTGGCATGGTTGTTGGTGCCAGAAGGGCTGGTCTGAGTATTTCAGAAACTGCTGATCTACTGGGATTTTCACGCACAACCATCTCTAGGGTTTACAGAGAATGGTCCGAAAAAGAAAAAATATCCAGTGAGCGGCAGTTCTGTGGGCGGAAATGCCTTGTTGATGCCAGAGGTCAGAGGAGAATGGCCAGACTGGTTCGAGCTGATAGAAAGGCAACAGTGACTCAAATAACCACCCGTTACAACCAAGGTAGGCAGAAGAGCATCTCTGAACGCACAGTACGTCGAACTTTGAGGCAGATGGGCTACAGCAGCAGAAGACCACGCCGGGTGCCACTCCTTTCAGCTAAGAACAGGAAACTGAGGCTACAATTTGCACAAGCTCATCGAAATTGGACAATAGAAGATTGGAAAAACGTTGCCTGGTCTGATGAGTCTCGATTTCTGCTGCGACATTCGGATGGTAGGGTCAGAATTTGGCGTCAACAACATGAAAGCATGGATCCATCCTGCCTTGTATCAACGGTTCAGGCTGGTGGTGGTGGTGTCATGGTGTGGGGAATATTTTCTTGGCACTCTTTGGGCCCCTTGGTACCAATTGAGCATCGTTGCAACGCCACAGCCTACCTGAGTATTGTTGCTGACCATGTCCATCCCTTTATGACCACAATGTACCCAACTTCTGATGGCTACTTTCAGCAGGATAATGCGCCATGTCATAAAGCTGGAATCATCTCAGACTGGTTTCTTGAACATGACAATGAGTTCACTGTACTCAAATGGCCTCCACAGTCACCAGATCTCAATCCAATAGAGCATCTTTGGGATGTGGTGGAACGGGAGATTCGCATCATGGATGTGCAGCCGACAAATCTGCGGCAACTGTGTGATGCCATCATGTCAATATGGACCAAGCTCTCTGAGGAATGCTTCTAGCACCTTGTTGAATCTATGCCACGAAGAATTGAGGCAGTTCTGAAGGCAAAAGGGGGTCCAACCCGTTACTAGCATAGTGTACCTAATAAAGTGGCCGGTGAGTGTATATGTCAGCAAAAGATAATAAGGGCTTAGTTTTAGGGTTGAAAACATTTGCAAGAGTCAAAACTTCAGTGCAAGAGCAAAAAAAACAAATCACAGTTGGATTATTCACTTCAACTTTTTGGCTTTTGAGAGTCTGCATACAAAAATCCCAATAAATCTCAACTGAGTTCAAACTACCGCAGAAATGGCTAGAAAGAAGCAACTGAGTAAAGAAACAAAAGTACATCGTACATTGGGGAAAGAAGGATACACAGAAAGACAAATTGCAAAATGCCTAAAGGTGTTAAACAAAAGGAGTCCACTACACTCTGAAGAGACTAGAGGAACCTGGAAGCTATGATGATAGAAAAAGACCTGATGAAAGAGAGTTACTACAAAAGCAGAGGATAAACATATTATTGTCACCAGTAAGAGAGATCAGCAAAAGACAGCACCACAAATAAGGGAGGAAATCAACATGACAAGGTCGAAACCCATATTACTGACAACCGTGAAATGACGTTTGAGAAAGGCTGGTCTGTATCTGCAAAAAAAACCACTACTTCATCCACAGAATAATAAAAAGAGAGATGAGAGGGCAAAGGTTCACAAAAATTGGACTTATGATGACTAGAAACAAGTTTGCACTGTTTGGTTCAAAACGCAGAGTCTATGTCCGCAGACAAACTGGTGAACGTCTGAAAGCACCATGTGTTACACCCACAATTCAGCATGGAGGTGGTAGTTCCATGGTATGGGGATGTTTTGCAGGTGACGGAGTAGAAGATTTGTTTGAAGTAAATAGTATCATGAAGAAGGAACAGTACCACTCCATCCTCCAGCACCATGCTGTTCCATCTGGACTCAGACTTGTGGGTCATGAGTTTGTTTTGCAGCAAGACAATGACCCTAAGGACTCTGCCAAGCTCTATCAGGGTTACCTAGACAAAAAAGAAGAGAAAGGTGACGACAGAAACAAGCTAGCAATTTAGCTAAAAGATTTCAAAGAGGCTAAACACTTAGTACCTAAGTAGTCGACAAATACTAAAAACTAAAACAATGAGCCAAAAATAAGCAAGTTAAACAGCTCGAGTAACAGTCGTTAAAGTATAACAATGACAGGGCTGCCAAGTTCCTAAAAATGACTTGAGTAAGACTTTAGGGTTATGATGTGTTCGGCCACTGAATAAAAAAATGTATTGATTTATACCTTAAGACTGATGTCCTCGCCTCCATACCAGCTGCTCTCTCTGTACTGTGGCCTCCTAATTCTAGTCTCAATTAACCAGAAATTAGAAAGTAAGTTTTAAATGTTGGCGCTGTTGTTAGTGAAAGATAGTTATACGCGCCAAGACCTGCCTTATGTTGCTTCTGATTGGTTTATATTGCGTGGTGCTTTCCGTGGTTGGTTAGATTTAGGCACAAAGGACCAGTGGCGATTGCTCTAAGACTGCAAGGGAAGCTCGGCTTCCCTTAAAATGTCACCCCCCCAAAAAAAGAAAAAGTGGTGAAATACGTACGGCTGTGTGTACATTTCATTAACTAAATACGCACTAGAAAGCCTTCATCTTTTGTTCAGACACTGTGATAAGAAGCTGATAATCACAGGTAACCGGCATAACTTCGTTCTCATTCCTCCTCGCAGCGCCTCAGCGCTTCAAACAGTCGGACGCTGGGCTTCTGCTGACTTCAATGTGGAAGCTTAAAGTGGGTTGTTCCAGCAGCGAAACTAGACGCTCATTGGATAAATGCTGGGCTTTGTCCCGCCCAATGGAAGCCCAGCTTCACTGGAGTTCTATGGCGAGAGGGCGGTCCCGACTTTCTCCCAGACTCCAAGCTTCTGCATTCATGATTGGATGAGCTGTCTGAGGCGAAATCCTTTTTTGATTGACAGCTAAACAAGCGAATCAGCGATCTTGAAGAATAAAACATCTACCAGAGCATTTTCCAAGTCATTCATTCCGTTGTTCTTAACTGCTCCAGAGACTTTACCGATCCTCAGCGACTTTTGTCTTTGTTAAAAACGACTGCCGTTGTGTTTGGCGACTCTGTTCTGTTACATACTAATAAACAAATACAATTATGATGTAGGCCAGAAAAATGAGCTTCCCCTCCTTGAAAGACCAGCAGCCGCCACTGCAAAGGACTGATGGATTAGTCAGGGCTTGGTTATCTCGGTCAGCTAATCAAAGTTACTAAAACTATGGCAAGCCAAGTTTATTATCATGAAAAAAACAAATACATAGTATTGAATGGGGAAAAGTAAGCATGGGAATGTCAAGTGTGGTGTGAGAATGGGTCAAATTGCGTGACTGTCACACTCAAAGCGTCACGCTTGGCAGCTCTGCTATCATAGTTCCAAAATTACAAAGAAAGCCCAAAAATAAGATCTACAAGGAGCAAGATAAGATGCAGACACTTGTAAGAAACAAGTCCTTGAAGTAGGCCTCTAACAGTGGATGAATGCAAACTGACAGACATTACTTTACAGTTATCAAACAGGCAACAGAAACAAGTTAGCAATTTAGCTAAAAGATTTTAAAGAGGCTAGCTAAACACTTAGTAGCTAAGTAGCGGACGAATAATGAAAACTAAAACAATGAGCCAAAAATAAGCAAGCTAAACCACTCGAGTAACAAGTATAACAATTATTTAAATGAAGACCAAAAAACAAACACAAGAAACCTTGACCAAACAGTGGACTGAAATAAGCTAGCAGTGTATCTAAAAAGGTTTCAGCTTAAACATTTGCAGAGCTGCCAAGCGTCACACTGTGAGCGTGACAGTCACGCAATTTGACCACTTCTCACACCATATACCACACTTGACATTTCTCACCCTTATTTTTCCCCATTCAATACTATGTATTTATTTTTTTCTTGATAACAAACTTGGCTTGCTGTCATTCGAGTAACTATAATTGACTGACAGAGAAAACCAATCCCAGACCAATCCATTAGTCCTTTGTGCTTATCGCTGCATTCGAGTTACCTCGGAAGTCAGATCTTGGAACTGGAGATAACGTCAAACCCGAGTTACTAGTGTTTCTGTTACCAAGTCAGAAAAAAGCAAAATCAGAGGCCTGAATCAAGATGGCTACGTCTACAAAAGTTACTTTTGCCTTATATTCGGACAAGGCAAGCTCTAAAATAACTTTCGTAGATGTAGCCATCTAGTTTCTGCCTCCGATTTAGCTTTTTTCCGACTTGGTTACTGAAAAGTTGATTTTTTTGGGTTCTTCGCATCTCTAACTATCTTTCACACACAACAGCACCGACATTTAAAACCCACTTGACGTAATGCAATGTTGACAAATAATTGTAGCCTATGTTGTCAAAATTCTTGTTAAAATTTTCATTTCTAATTTCTAGTTAATTAAGACTAGCATTAGGGAAAGCAGCTGGAATGGAGGTGAGGACATCCATCTTATAAGCTAGTTTAGCTTACAAGCAACATTAGCTTGAAGTTTACGAAGCCCCAAATAAATAAAAAAAACTTAACAACAGCAACTGTGAGTTCTCTTGAGGACAAGTCTAGTCATTTCTTCAGGGTTTTTCAGATTAGATGAACTCTTTTACATAATTTTACAAAAACATGAATTATAACCTCTTTAACTTTTGATAGCAAACATTTTCAAGATTGGACAATTGGTGGAAGTTATCACTAAGAAGAGACATATGTGAGGTAAAGGTGGAAGAGTTAACAGGTCAGCAGTGTTTTAAAGTGTTTTGAGTCAAAAGAATTGATGGAAAAGCTGAATTTCCTTTAACATAACAAGGTTTTTTCATGACCCACTTACCGTGGGTTTATCTCCACGGCTCTCTCTGGTTTTATTTTCTTTCACGTGGAGAGACCGCCCCTCAAACAGCAGAAATCTGCATTGAGTTTGGTCTGTCAGTCAGCGAAGGGTTAAACTGGGAGTTTGCAGCAGTCTCTCCTTTCTGTGTCCACGGCATTTAGCGGAAAACATCTGACTCCTGCTCGTTTTCTGGGGCTGTGTTTGGTTTTACTCATTTTGTGCCCGAGCCGCGGAGGCATCACGGGAACAAAAATCAGTGTTTCGACAGCAGGATTTCCACATCTTACTGCGCGCTTTCAAACAGGTAGGTCAAAGTTTTGTTGTATGTTTTTACATCCTTGTACTTAATAGGAGTCTATCAAGCCCCACAGGTGGTCGTTTTAACGTTTGTTTGAGAAAAGTTGTCAGTGAAAATCGCTTGTAAAAGCCATACGAGTGGACAATGTTTGAGAGAGTGGCTCCACAGTGCCAGACAAACTAATTGTTTTTCCATTTACTGTGCAAATGCAATTCACCTAGGGAGTAAAACTACATTGAATGTTGTTATTTTGGCTCATTTTGTTGTAAATTTATCCGTGTATGCTGTTTTAAGCACTGTCAATCATCTTATGTAGACTACTTCACAGTTTTGTCTCTCTGAGCACTCATGTAGCTGCACCATTTTTATACAAAAGTCTCTTTAATCTTGGGAAAAATGTGTGATTTGGGGGAAATCACCTATCATAATACCTACATATCTGATTCCTGGTGTTAGTGCAAATAAAATTCATTTTGTCTCAAAGTGTTTGCATGTCCTTTGTGTTCACAGTGGGCCTGTGGTATTTCACCATCTCATTCACTTGCAGACTGAGTCATTCCCTGATTTCCTCCAGATGTGCACTAGTTTACGTTTCCTGGCGGCCCAGGATTGTGACATTTTCTCTCCTTGCACTGCACTTATTCTGCTGACAAATATGAATTCACACTTTTGTTCTGTTATTCATGGCATGACATGTACAGATGCTTTTAACAGCTGTATATTTTCCCCTCTCATCCTGTATTTAAAGAGCGTACCTTTTAGTAAGTTGTTAAAATGTAATCCTTTAACTCAAATCTGCCATGAACAGCTGACATTTCACCCTTTTTATTAGCCTGTCTTCCAGCTAGTGGGACTCTGACACTGCCGTTAAGTTATTGGACAGGCGCAGTCATGTGTCAAGCTCACGTAAATGGAGAATCAACAAGTGTTTGGAGTTATGTCTTGTTTTTGTCCGCTTCCTCGCGCAGCAACAAAAACGGCATGTTCGTCTCTGTGTCCTGTGTGTGCAGGAATTTAAATGTCACCAGGGGTAAAGCAAACATCCAAAAGCTTAGCCTGCTTGTCTCTTTGACTTCAATAGAGGTACTGGCAGACAAAATGAAGTTTTTATTGGTTTATGGCTGCACAGTAGCTTGTGTGACGCAACCCTCATTTAAAAAGCAATCACACTGATTTCTCGTGAAAGATGTGCTGCAAAATTTGATGTGTTTGCACCGTTTTATCGCAGAAAACGTTACGAATCAGTCAGGTTTTTTTTTTGACATAGCCAGATGTACTTCAGAGCTAGGTAACAGTTGGCACCAACCTCGCACAACCTCAGTGACCTGAAAGTTCCCAGCTGTTATCTCATCCTGTGTGGCTCTCATTTCCTCCTCGATTACCTCCTTGATAGACTGGATCATTGGGGATCATAAATTGACAGTGTTTAAGTGTATTCCCTCTTAAAGTTGTGATAAAAATAGTCTGACTTTGCATGATCACACTGATGTTTTTGGATTGTTCTCATCCATGGATGGTTTGATCATTTTCTGCATCATTGGCAGTATTTTAAAAGCAGGTTCTGCAGACAGATTGAAAGTTTTCCATTAATGCTGATAAACGATGACACCAAAAACTCCAGTTTCCGTCCATAGTCGCTCAGCAGGGCATCACGAGATCTTCTGCTCTGCTAGCGTAAGATTAACCTCAGGTAATTGCTCAACCTTTGCCCACTTCCAACCTTTGGTCCATTCTTCAGCATTCACAGCCTCTTTGCACTGGTGTTGTAGGCAGTGTAGCCTCGGGAAGCGGACCTAAAGGTATGTGTGTCTTACATGTGTTTGACTGGTTTTGCAGAGCTGGAGTCCTTATTGGGTTTTCTACTGAATGCTTATGATTGTTGTAATTTGAATTTGATTGAATAATATTGAGTTGGTGCAAAACTGGCATTAAATAGGTGTGTTAAAAGAGCACAGTTGAGGGGATGGAGGTGAATCTGTGCTTCTTGGGCACCGACTACAATCCTCAGCGATGCTTTTGTGTCATGTGACACTGAGTTGAGTGTCGAGCACAGGTATTCGCAACAGATTTGCTCTATGTTGGCAGGTATATCACTGATGATTTTATTGTTGTTCATACTACTGTCATTTGCTCCTGAGCCAGTTTACTCCCTGGGTTCGGAGGGGAACTTTTATGGGGCGAACATATCACATGATGTGATGCTCACAGTGCTGCGACTCAGGATTCTGTATCTAATAATGAGGAGATGGTTTTTGAACTTTAAAGCCCCTGTGAAGAATTTTTCAATGTTGATGAAATTCACTTCAACTCACTTTTTATGATGTACAAAAGCAAACAAGACAGTCAGTGACCAGGTTGAGGATTTCTATGTTGTGATTTTTAAGGCGTTAAACCAGTGTGAGAGGATAGTTGTTAGCCAGACAGCTAATGAAACAGCCCTGCTTTTACATTTTACACATGCAATATTTATGATAAATGTCAAATTTTGTTAGAAGACATGAGTAAAGCATTTAGAGGAAAAAAGAAAAAGATGGGCACCATAACAGACACAAACAGAGTTCTTCACAGGAGCTTTAAACTTAATTTTATTTTCTGTCATGAATGACTAACATTAAATCTTCAGGTTTAAGTAGCTGACAACAGATTTTTTAAAAACTTTTCTGCTTGAGACTTTACGGAAGTAGAGTGCTTGACTGTGTGGTTAAAGCTCCTGTGAGGAGATTTTGGTTCGTGCTGATATTGGCGCCACCATGTGGACAAAGCTTACTGATTTTGTCATGCTGTTTTAAACAAAAAAAATCTTTGTTTTCGGCTCAGTAAACACATAACTTGTGAAAAAATTTCTATAACAGAAAACATAAACAGTATGTTTGTGTATTTTTTCATCTGACACCTACCCCCCTGGTGACAGTTTCAGGCATTAATAGTGACAATACAGAAATAACTAATCTTTATGTTGATAGTCTGGTTTCTTTTGAGGAACATAAAGATGCACCAGGATTAATTTCAGTCAGCTTTATAACAAGTTAAAAAACTCCCCACCGGAACTTTAATTCATATCTGTGCAGTTCTAGTTTTCCCTCAGTAATCCCTCCTAAATGAGGGTTTGGAGAAGAGAGTTGTCTGTTGGTGCAGGACTGTCTTTGTCTCAGGATATTTGACTCCTTTACAAGCCAAACATCTGACACAGCATGTGTGAAGGAGGGTTAAAGTGTGTGTGTGTTCCTGTCCTTACGAGACTGATGTTTTATAGGTCATGTGTCTTGAAATGCTCTCTGAAGGCTGCTCATGGTTGTAAATGTTTATAGCAGATTGTGAAAAGAATAGGATTGTTTATGATGTGCAAAAATCTGTGCGCTTATCTTACATAACTTCTAAGTGTTGTTTAATAATCACTCTTTACAGTCTTTATATCTTGTTAGCAGTTTGAACAGGAAAGAGTGTCTTTTAATCATCTTCTCCTTTTCCCCTCTCCCCACACGCACTCTTTCTACTTCACTTTTCCTGCTGCAGACGCATAAGAAGAAAAGCATGTGTGGGTGTTGAGAGTCATCTGTTCGCTTAACCTCGCTGCCCCCTGAACACGGAGCTGCTGCCTGCTTTACCTCCCCGACCGTCCGCTTTTCAAGTGAGGCTCACTCCACATCATGTCTGCAGAGGTGGAGATCGGTGCCCCGGTCCCTGCTGACCCCAGCGCGGCATCCCCAACTGCAGCCACGACCCCCAACACCCCTCCAGCTTCTCCTGCAACCGCTGCATCCAAAGTCCCGTTCAAGAAAGAGAAGAAGAAAGGTTAGTGTTTTCTAGTCACTGAACTAACTATAAGACTCCAGAGTTTTCTATTTGGATGTTGCATAACTCACACACTTTTCTCTAAAGTGCCAGAGAAGACAGATGAGTACCTGCTGGGCAGGTTCCAAGGAGATGGTGTGAGGTACAAAGCCAAGCTGATCGGCATTGATGATGTTCCAGAAGCTCGAGGAGACAAGATGTGCCAGGACTCCATGATGAAACTGAAGGTACAGCATGAGACTTAAGAATATGGAAGATTTTTAACATTATTTTAAATCATCTGGGATTAATCAGATTAAATTTCCATTACAGTTTTGGCCCCCCATGATTATAAAAATATAATAATTATCTTTTAGTGTCTTCAAAAAATTGTGCAACAATAGTACAAACTATCGGGCAGCAACAGGCGGAGAGAGGAGAGCAGGAAGAGGAGGCAGGTTTGTGTGTCTGAAAAGCCAAGGGACAGAACAGAGGCTGCATCTATCATGAACGATGGCTAAAAAGTGAAAGACATCGCCCCGTACAATAAAATACAAGCCCAAGTCTCGACTTTATGAAGGGTGTTATATAAAAGCTTGAAAAGACTGAATGATTTGTTAGATCTGCAGTCTGTGGTAAAATGTGAGCTGTAAAAAGAGCTAAAATCTTTGAATTTTTTTATGACACTGTTAAAATACTTTACTGCAAGTGAAATCTGGGATTTAATTTAGTGAGTGTTATGACCAAAGTTAAGCCAAAGCTCTTAAAGTGAAGTGAAGAACTGATGCCTGGCCCTTTTCGGGTGTTGCACATATGACTTATTTATTTATATAATCCATTCAGACGGACAGAAATGCTTTGGTAAACAAAACAGGTAGCTGTCAAATCACAGGTTATCACTTGCAGTAATTGTGATATCAGTATAAATCAGAATAACTGTGAGCGTTATCTTTAAAATGCACATGGAGTCAGTGGAGGAAAGCAAAGACAGGAGTGATGTGATGTTTATTTATTCAGTGGACATCGCAGGAACACAAACACAGGCAGCGTTCCTGCTGCTCTAGGTCACCTGCATGTGTCACAGTGTGTCATTGTCGGTCAGTATTTTGAAAGTACAACGCTCATATTTGCTGCAGTCATGTCCTCACTGTACAGGACGACACTGATATTCGCTATGAAACCCAAAGGTCATGTTGTGTTTACCCCCAAGTGGCAGAAAAACAGAACAGTATGTATTATCTGTGTTACTCCAGGGAATGGCGGTAGCTGCTCGATCTCAGGGCAAACACAAACAGAGGATCTGGGTCAACATTTCCATGTCGGGCATCAAGATTATTGATGAGAGATCAGGGGTGAGTACTTCTCTTTCCCTCCCTTTGCTGTCACACTCGGCAGTAAAGCTCACTTGATTTGTTTTGCAGCTCTACCTCTGCTCATAATTTCTCCGTCCTCTATTCTTCAGGTGATTGAACACGAGCATGTGGTGAACAAGATCTCCTTCATCGCCAGAGATGTCACAGACAACAGGGCGTTTGGGTATGTGTGTGGAGCAGAGGGACAGCATCAGTTTTTCGCCATCAAGACTGCACAACAGGTAACTTTAAAAATAAATTCTCATATATTCACTTTTTGTTGCTGCATGAAGATCATGAGAAGTCTCTCTAGATCTCTTGCAGACATCAGGGACTTGACTTTCGCTGTATTTATTTTGATCAAACAAGACTGGAGCACTTATTTCACCTATGGTTCTAAATACAAGTCCTGATTAAAAATGAAATGGCCTTTAGCAGCAAAGTACAACACTTAATTTTACACAAGTAAGGTCGACTTAGTCATGCATTGGGATTTGGGTATTGCTTTGTTAGAATTACATGGTGAAATTGCTCATGTCTGTTGCTGTAGATGGCCCAGCTCACAAAGTAAACGGGTCAAACCAGCTGGGATCCGTCACAGGTGATCCACTTACTCTTGACAAGTACCTTAAGTAACCCCAATTTCCCTGTAAACCTGCAGTATTCAAGATGGCCAACAGCGGGCGACTACTGTTTCAACTTTTACATGAAGTCTACCAGAAAAATAAACCTACTTCTCAATTGGTTCATTACTTCAGTAAATGTCTTTCTCATGATCAGAGTTAAATATCAAGCAGATATGTGTTTATTTTGGCAAAACATTTTTTTAAAGCTCCTGCAAGGAACTCTCAGTTGGTGTCAATTTTGGCGCCCCCTTTTGTGCAAAATAGCCTCTTACTCTTTTTACCGATTTTGTCTTTTACGAATTAAAGCTGCAGCAAAAGCATGTAGTAGATCCCTTCCCTCGACACCTACCCCCAGCAGCTGTTCTTGATATTTAAAAAGCAAAATAAAGTAAATGTGTATCTTGTTGATGATGGTGTGTGGGAATTGGTAATGTTTGCTTTTGTAGGTCATGAAAAACTCTATTGGAGCATTAAGAATTTGATATTTTAATTATTGTGAATATTTTTAGCTGAAATTGTAAAAACGAGGCTGTTTCTTCTACACCCATCCACTTACACCAATTTCAGGCCTCAAAAATGACAATAAAACTCATCTGTATTGTTTCTGATGGTCTTATTTACTTTTGGAGATCATGAAAAAGCACCAATATTAATTTTAGTCTCTTTCAGAAATTAAAAAAAAATCTCCTTATAGTAGCTTTAAAGAGAAATAGCCAGATTTTATATAGAGTCCTGCAGCTTTGGTTAAAAAAAAAAAGAAAAAAAAAGATGCAATCATCAAACTCCTTTTATAAACCGCCCACCCCCGTTTCAGATTTCACATAACATTGGATGTCACAGTTTGGTCCAATTATACTTACTTCTGGCTCTAAAAACAACAGGGTGAAACTTTGGCTTTCAAACTCCACAAACCAATAGTTGACCTCATACTGGAAACGTCTCCTTCTATGATGGAGACAAATGGGCAATAATGTGAATGTCCTCCTGTCTCCATACAGGCAGAGCCTCTGGTCATCGATCTGAAAGATCTGTTCCAGGTCATCTTCAACATGAGGAAGAAGGAGGCAGAGGCCGCACAGAAGGTAACTGTTGAGACACATTTGACTGTGAAGTGGAAAAAAGTCTTTTTTTTTTTTCTCTTCTTCTGCTGCAATGGTTGGACAGTGTGAATATTTTCTTTCTGGTGTGGTCATGTGGGAAAGCTGACAGAATACACTCTGTACCTCCAGCCTGAGCGTCAACACTACCTTTCTGTGTTCCTTCAATGACTCACACCATCAGACATTCCTTTGAAATAAAGTGAAATGACATACGCCTGAGTGAATTAAGAAAAAAAGAGTAATCATTCACAGCCTACCTCTGTTTACAGGGAGAAAATGGCAGTGCTGTAGTTGAGGTAAGCCCTTGGAAGCACCTCTTTTCTCCTAATAGCTCCTTTAACTACTTCCTTTAACACTCTGCCTCCCTGTGTGTTTCCAGAATGGCAGTGACGCTTTGCTTAGTATGGATGAAGCCAAAGCTGCCCAAGTAAGAGTTTCTCCTCTGTTGTGTTTGCAGCGTTACAACATTAAACAAACTAACAGTGATTTATAGGAGCTGAATAAATACAGTGTGTTTCTGTTTCCTCTTTTGACGTGCAGCCAGTGGAGCAGCTCAACCTTTTCGGAGACATGTCGACCCCTCCAGACATCCGGGCACCGAATGTAAGTGTGGTGCCATGAAATGTTCCCTTTATGGAGCAACATAGGGGAATTATACTCCGTCAGTGAAGTGTAGCTGGAATTTACAGTATACTATATCTACTATAGCATGCTTTTTAATCGTCTTTATTACAGCTGTAGGGAGTGTTTTAGAAAAGAGTCTTCATACAGTCTGCTTCTTGTCATAAATATGTTGCTAATGTCATATTTTGTGTTTGAAAAGCTGCACACTTACAGATCATCCCACATATTTGGACTCAGTCCTCAAAAGACCTCTGTTTGATCTGAGTTTGATTATTGCTTCCTTTTAAAAGTTATAAATAATAAATTACACAGGTCTTTTCAGAATTGAGTCCAAGCTTCATGTACTCCAATCTCATTGTTGTTCATCAAACTGTTAAAGCTGCTACAAGTAGAGTTTATGAAAGAGAGATAAACACAGAGCTTTGGTGTAGTTTGGCGACACCTGGTGGTTTCATAGCGGTAGTGTCTTCATGACACCCTTGTCGGGTTTGGACGAGTTTCAAGTCAACAAACAAGTGCTGACTCAAGCATATTTAAACAGCTTCCAAGTAAAGTTGAGCAACACCTTCATTTTGTTAACCATACAGTGGACGCCAGACTGTGATTTACCATGAGATTCAAAATGACTTTCCTGATACCCACAAGAAGACAGAAAACAAATGAGAACAAGAAAATTTTATACCAAAAACAAAAAATCTTGATAAGAGCAAAAGTAGTAAAGTTTAAAAAGCGAGATGAAAATAATGACTAAACAAGTAAAAAGTCAGAATAGAACAAGAAATGGGGTACAGGTGGCACCAGCCATATCATTAGGAACACCTGGACGAGTTAATACAACCCAATACAACGACTTTACCTTAAACTCTACTTTCAGGACGCTTCTGAGTTTCCAGTTTCCAGTTTTGGTGTCATGATCAGATAAATTTTGAACTTCAGATTTATTTTAAAAGAATACGTCAACAAACATTCAACAAACATTAGGAACACCTTACATGATAATGTGTATATGCAGTATACGACCAACACCCAGTTCAAGTTCAACAGTTAATTTAAATAACAGTTATCATCTGTCTAACATGGCAACAAACAATGAAAATGCTGAGATTTTGAAGAAGTAGACTATATGTCAGCGCTGTTTTAACGCCAGGTCCAACTCCCAATAATGCAGGCTGTAAACAAGAAAAATGCCATAACAATAAGTTAGGGATATAGATATAGTGAAATTTCAAGCTCTTCTTCTACGTGTAGCAGCTTTAATTTGTCATGTCTGTTCACACCATGTGATCCATTTGTAATTGTGTTCACACATGTGTTTTTTGTGCCTCTGCAGAACTGATCATAAATCTCTCATCTTCTCTCTCCCACTGTCCCCCCCTCATGTTAACCAGGACTCTAATGATATTCTCTTGCTGGACTTTTCCGCTGAGGTTGACAGCAATCAGAATTGCATAAAGGGAAACTCCTTTGTCACTTCCTGTGCCCCTGACCTCGGGGCATCTCCCCGCACAGAGAATCCCTTTTCCTCAACATTTGGCTACTTTCCAACCCCAGACACTGACCCTTTCAGAGATGACCCCCTTTCTAAGTCGCCTCCCCTGTCGGCGTCCGATAATTCACAATTCTCCCATCTCACCACCTCTAATCGCCTCAACAGCAGTGCCGGCAACGCTTGTAAGACATTTATTAACGGTGGTTTGAACGGAGACTCTGAACACCTCAGTCAGCAGATAAACGGGTTATCCAGTAAGAACATGATCCTCGCTCTCAATAATGGACAGTGGCCACTAGGGGGCCAGATAACTCAGGGCAGCACAATAACCATGATGGACGGGAATGAAACTTCTCCAGTTCTCTCAACCAAAAACCCCTTTTTTGATTCATCTTTGCAAACTGCCCCCGTCCCTAATGGCGTAAGTCATCATCCACAACCCCCAGTGACTCATAGCAAGGACTCGGTAGTCATAAACCCCCCACCGCAGAGCTCTAAGGCCGGACGAGGTCGAAGGAGTGCAAAGGTGAAACGCTGTAGTTAGATGAATCATAGTGGATTTGCATGTGTAATGCCTGAACATGGGGTTAATGCACATTTCCCAGGGCATAATAGTATGTTGGCTAACATCTCTTTTTTTTGGAGCATCTGGGTCATGCATTGGTGTCTTGCAGGAGATGCATTTTGGTCTGGTAATCACGGTTGCAGTATAGGGCTTGTTGTATGCACTCTATGTTCTGCCTGCATGCATGCACTGGTGTTCACATGCTTCTTTGTCTGGCTTGGATTCATCGTTCTTGTTATGTGCTGCTGAACAATGAACTGCTCCCTTTCTTATTTCTGCTCTTAATGTGTCTTCTAACATTCATGCTGCGGTGATAAAAGCACTGGTGAGTCTCAAGGCATGCATATTTGTCATTGTCAAGGTAAATATTGTTAAATTTTTATGATAGTGCTGCTATTTTTTAATGAAGTTTGGTTTCAATTTAGCTTTCTCATAGTTTGCATTTGATCATCATAGACTGTATATAAGAATAAGCTTCCAAGGTTAAATGGAAGAGTCGATGCAGAAATGCCATTAACTTGAAGTTGTCCCAATACCAGCAAGTGATACCAGAGGTAGTCTGATAATGTAGTCCCTTTCAGCGTAAAATTGAAGGTAAAAAGAATATATTTTTTTAGATGACAAGTAAAACGCCAAATTCAAAGGCCAAAAATGGTAGTTCAAATTAAAGAGGAAAACCAAAATGCGTACGTTAACTAGTTTTTTTTGTAAACAGCCAGCATGGGGAAGCCCATGTGTTCAAAAAAGGAGCCTGATTTTATAGAAGACAACACACAAATGCCCTAATTTTTGTTAAAGAGGTAGTTTTAATCTGGAGACTCTAATTGAACAGGGAATTCCTGCTCTCTTGTTTGCAGCTGGGGATAATTATATATGTCCTTCCAAACTTTTCTGCAGGGTCCAAAGCAGGCCAAATTTCCCAATTTGTAATTTAAATAAGAAGGCAAGACTTTGCAGCATGACAACAGTGGAGGAGTCTTCTCTCTGGAGGGGTTTGAGATATTAAAGCCTTTATCTTTTTGGGATGTTAATCATGTAAAGCTACTTCAAACCCAACAGAATAACAAAACCAAACCTAAAATGTACATATTGCCCTCTCTGAGTCTCTTTCATCACCATCAAAAAGGTTGTAGGTTTATCTTCCCAATTTTGTTAATTTAAGCCTTCTTCAACACAGCTTTAATATCCAAATATATTCATTCAAGTTCAGCAATGTTGTTTATCATTTCTTAGCATTGATAAATTGTTGTACTTTTACAAATGGGGAAAAAAACAATATAATAATATTTTTTGGCAGTTGTGTTCTCTTGTTAAAAAAACGTATTTGTCGTCTGGTGTGGGAACTACAGTAAGAGCTGCTTCTTCTTATATACAGTCTATGGTTGTTTTGTGAAGAGCGGTGTCAATCTAATACAAAAATACTAATTAGTTGTAATTTCCCTTTAATAGTCCACAGCAAGTGACCTGTTTGGAGCAGAGCTGTTTGCTGCTCCGGGTCAGCCTGAAGCGTCACCTGCTTCCAGTGATCTTTTCAACAGTACACCTGCCAGCGCCACTCCGTCCTCCTTAGCAGCTCTGGGTAACACACCTCTGGACAACTTTGCATCTTTTCTCAAATAAACGTTTTTGGTTTAACTTTCATATTCCTTCTTCTCCATATTCAGGAAATCTTCAATTGGGTCCTCCTGTGGCCACAGGTATCCCTGCTGCAGGCATGTGGGGAGCCTCCCCCGCCGCACCCGCCATGTTCCACATGCCAGGAGTGACAGCTCCAGGCCCCGGACCAGCCTACCCACAGCCATCTGCCTTCGGTGGTCTCCCCATTCCCCCCACAGCCTGGGGCCAGCCCATGCCAACCCATTACGCCCCGCCACTATCCCCTCCCCACATCTTTCCACCGAATGCCGCTGTCACCTCTCCAGGTTGGGGTCAGCCAGCCGGGACCAACCCTTTCCAACCTGGCGCATCACGCCCGCCTCCCAGACCGCCTGTAAAAGAGGCCCCTAAGGTAGAGAACAGTGCCTTCACAGCTTTGGACCCGCTTGGAGATAAAGAAAAGAAGACTGGAAAGGACATGTTCAAGGATTTCCAGCTGGCCAAACCTCCTGCCATCCCAGCGCGGAAAGGGGAGATGGGGTCCAACTCTGCTCCAGCCGGTACTGAACCAGCGGCTTTTGATCAGTACTTTACCAACAAAGTGGGTGTGGCTCAGGATTCTGCAGATCATGACGACTTTGATATCAATCAGATGCAACCAGTCAATGGTAAACCAAGTCACTGCTGTGCATGCAGATATAGTTTACACTTTGATGTTGGCAGACTTCTTAACCATTTTGTCCTTTTGCTCTTGAATGCCTTTTTAGATGCCCTTAAACTGGCTCCAGCTGCAGCCCCAGCTCCGGGCTTCAACTCTGGCCTTGATGCTGCCTTCTCTTCTGCTCCTATCTCTAACAACTCAGCACCAGCCCAGGGACTCAACCAGGACATGTTTGATCAAGCATTTGGGGCCCCAGATTCCAATCCATTTGGAGTGCCACCTGTAGCTTTGGTAGAGGCAGCTACACAGACACATAATCTAATATTTACAGTATTTTTTTTCTTCTAATTTTTGCCTTTTTTTTAATCTCACAGCAGCCTGCTCCTGTTGCTCAGACCGCTGGTTCAACAGCAGACTTTGGAGATCCTTTTGGGAATCCCTTTGCTTGATCACAACCTTGATCTCAAGTAAGCATTTAAAGTGTATGTTTATCCTTTAGTGTCTATCTCTCTGCAGAACTAATCCTCTTTTTACCTTCACAGTTGAAATGGCATTATTGGAGGGCAACGAGTTCTTCACACCGACATAACATCTCCAGGACAAGCAGCTACAGCGGTGCAAGACAATCCAAATGATGAACTCCACAAAGTCTTGTCCCTGGCACACCCCTCTTCCGATGTTGTTGTATTTTTCTGTCCAATCAGTAGTTCTCCTGTTTCTGAAGACCACCGATCTAAGAAGTAAATGTACATGTCATTATCTGCTGAAGAAAGAAATGTGGTGTATTAGAGAAGCATGTCCTGAGAGGTTCACTGCTGATGCTGCCTGTGTTATGAAATAAAGAAATTCAGCTATAAATCTGCAAAGTGTGGGCAAGTCAGTTTCTTTCTTTTAGATCAGTAAACAGTGTCAAATACAAAAGTACTGATTAAGCTAATCGCAATAAACAAAATCTGATAGTCGTCAGATGTCTAAATTGACTTTCTGTACCTGGGATTAACATTAAACCTTCCAAAACACCATATACTTTGCTAAAATTACGTCAAAATGAGTTTTATAGCTAAAGCTGCAGTTACCAATTAATTTAGCTGACGCTGTCTAAGAAACTTTAGAAACTTAAGTTGGAATTTCCAAAAAAATGGCACTTGTACCAAAGAAAAAAAATAATCAAAAAGTAAATCGCAGAAGTGATTTAAACGTGGATGAAGTGGACACAAACCGTATTCTGAATCAAAATAGGCTACCGCTATTTTCATTGAGCTAAATCTTCTTAGATTACTTATATTGTGAGAAAAGAAACAAACACAATAAGTATGAAGAAAAAAAACAACATTCTGGTCGGTTTACATAACACAAGGTGAATCACATTACAAGATCTTGCCTCATCCAGTTTTCCGCATCAGCTGTACTACATTTCCCACAATCCCTTCTCGGCTACGATAATATCGCGGCAAGAAAAACATGGCGGTTTAGCGTGTGTGCATGGGGGTCCGCTACTCGCCTCTCGTCGACGACAAATGTACACTTTTTTTCCCCGAGCAGACGTCTTGCTGTTGAAAAGGTATGTTTCAGGAATAAGAAACATCACAAATTCGAAAACGACGATGTTAATTTATCTGTTGTTACTCGCCAACGTGAAAAACAGGGCGGTCCGAGTCAGGAAGACTCTCCACTAAGTGTTGTCATTGGAGTTTTAAGCTCAGCTTTGTGCACTTTTGGCCTTTATACAGTATTAAAACGCATCTCTAGGATTAAGAATCTTAAGAATGAGTGAAATAGCTTTCTATACCTTTGCGTGGATATTTCCTTATTTATTGTCTGTACGTAACGGCTCCTTAAACGTAACTTAACGGCTTTCCAACTGTCAACGTTGTCAGTCCAGTGGGTGCATGAACGAGCTGCTGAGGTTTGCACAAAAGACAATCATATAAAAGCTTGTAATCTTAAACAAGTGTCTAAAAACAACATATATCTAGTATCTAAGTTAAAATGGACACTGTTTCAAATTGTACATATGAAAAAGTTTGGTGCACACGCCCATATACTCAATGGTCCTATAGCAGCTCCCCTTCACTAACTACATTCTCAGTTTCATCAAGAAATACGCATTTTTGCAGTATGTTTAACTCGTGACTAAAGTTTGATTTAAACTGAGTATTTAGAGAAGATTCACCTGAGTGTATAGAGTTTGCATTTCCACATGGACACATAGATTAAAGTAGTATGTGGTAGCTATACATTCATGCACTCATATCAGATAGGGATTAATTGTTCTTTAAGTTAGTTTATAAAGCCGGAGGTGTACTGGTATGAGGTGCATCATATTGAAAAGTGTTTCTAATATTTTGCCCCCCTCGACTTTGTCATTAAACTAGGTGAAATACAAGGAGCACCTTTCAATATAACACGCTTTGTAAAACAAACTCCACCCACTATGTCTTGTTTAACACCTGTGTAATCGCATCAACAAAAGCTGAAAATGTAGATGCTTTCTGAAAGAAGAGTTCATAATAGAGCTGTTGGGATAAATTGCCCAGGTGTGCCTGAAAGTGTGGCAGGTGAGTGCAATTGCAAGTATCACTTTGCAGAGCAGCTCCTTTCATAATGCTGTATAGTAGGGATGCACAATACAATCTGTATAGTATCGGTGCAGATAACTCAAGAGGTGGTATTGACAGGTAACCACAGGAGAGACTTAAGGCTTATACAGTGGAAAAAAAGTGTGTCTATATTGGTGTCGATATCAGTATCAGCCAGAATACGTTTCAAAATACCAGCAAAGCCGATATCAGCATAAGTCTAATATTATACGTCTCGACTTTATCTGAAAGCAAACACACAAAAAGTGGAAATAGGTGCAAAAGTCTTTCCTTATTTATGACTCAAAACCTGACACGGTTTGTTTTTACAATTTTTATGTCAGATATTAAGCAAAATCTTGGCTGTAACACAACAGAGCTGTTATATAATCTATTTTATAGTTTGTATGGTGCAATTAAAGGGATTATTATGTTTCTAAAGTAAATTTGGCTGGACTGTCTGTGTCTTCATAATTACATTCTTCTACATCCATGAAAACATTCAACACTTTATTCCACTTTTCAAAGATATTACTGTTTGAAATGGTTGATGCAGTTAAATCTGTGTAATACCACTCCCTCTTGTTGTTTCAAAACCTTTTCCTTTATTCGATTTCGAGTTTAAGTTCATTCATTTGTTGGAATGATCAGTGAGCTCTGACTTTCTGTGTGTCTTTAGGCCAAAATGTTTCGTCGGTCAAGATTCAGCATCCGGCCCAATGTGGGCTCTGCAGGGAGAGCAGCTGCAACACCGCAGGAAGCCCCTGCAGCGAGCCAAGAGGCCGGTGAGACCCCCAAAGACATCGGAGATAGCAACACTGCTACTGCGGTGACTGAAAACAAGCCTGACGTGACTCCAGCAGAAAAACCTGCAGCCTCAGGGTGAGTAAGAAGCATTCAATTGTTATTTTAACAAAATTCTTATTACGTTTTAAGACGATAACTATTGTGATTGCTTCTGTTCAGGGACAGGAATGATCAAAATGGAGAAGGTACTAGCACTTCAGCAGCAGTCCAGAGAAGGAAGCGGTTTTCCATCAAGCCTAAAGTGGCCCCAGGCCGGCTGTCCTCCCTAGCTCGGACGCCAAAGTCTCCTGCCAAGGCGTGCTCTGGAACTCCCGCTGAAACGTATGTCTCTGATCTTGACAAACCGACAACGTCCAGCCAAACTGGACCCACAGTTTCCCCTAGAGGACTCCAATCCCCGAGGCGAAGGAGACCTTCAGAAGACAGCAAGCAGCTCAAGGTTCAGCCGAAACCCACAGACATTTCCCTTGACAGTTCGGGACCTTCAGCTGTTCCTCGGGTAGAGGATTTAGAGGAACAAACACCTCTGCCTGCAGATAGTGGAAAACAATTTGAAAGCACTTCAGACAGTCTAGTTAAAGAGGCTCCTTCAAGACTATCTGATAAAGTCCCCCCCTCTCTACCAGACAAAGAAGCAATTGAGATATCTGAGAAAGCAAAGACTCTAGTATCATCTAAGAGCGACCTTTCACTCTCAGCTCCTGCGTACTCTTTAAGTCGACTCCTGAACGACCCGTCAGACATGCAGAGGATTGCAAAGGCCCAGAAACTCCGAGACCTACTCAGAAAGGAGATGCACAAAGAAAAGGTAGATCAAAATTACTTTTGAGACTATTTCTCATCTTCTACACTTCCTTTCTCATATTTTAATCGATTTAGTGCCTAAAAAGTGTGTTGACATTTGACGTTGCAGAATAAGAAGAAAAATAAGAAAAAAAATAAGGTTGGATTTTCTCTCGATCCAGCCAAGATGACCATGAGGGACTTAATCCGTTATCTACCAGAGTCGAACCCGATGACGTAAGTGTCTCCTGTGCAGCTTGCAGAGGCTGGTGCAATCATTAGAGATAACATTTTCTGTCAAATGTACAAAACCCAATTCCAATGGAGTTGGGAAGATATGTAAATTGTAAATAAAAACGCAACACAATGATTTGCAAATCCTTTTCAACCTGTATTCAATTGAATACACTACAAAGACAAGATATTTAATGTTCAAACTCAAACTTTATTTAACTCAGAATTTCATGGCTGCAACACATGCCAAAGTAGTTGGGAAAGGGTCATGTTTACCACTGTGTTACATCATCTTTCCTTTTAATAACACTCAGTAAACGTTTGGGAACTGAGGAGACTAATTGTTGAAGCTTTGAAGGTGGAATTATTTCCCATTTTTGCTTGATGTACAGCTTCACTTCTTCAACAGTCCAGGGTCTCCGTTGTCGTATTTTACGCTTCATAATGCGCCATACATTTTCAATGGGAGACAGGTCTGGACTGCAGGCAGGCCAGTCGAGTACCCGCACTCTTTTACTACGAAGCAACGCTGTTGTAACACGTGCAGAATGTGGCTTGGCATTGTCTTGCTGAAATAAGCAGGGGCGTCCATGAAAAGACGTTGATTGGATGGCAGCATATGTTGCTCCAAAACCTGTATGTACCTTTCAGCATTAATGCTGCCTTCACAGATGTGTATGTTACCCATGCCTTGGGCACTAATGCACCTCCATACCATCACAGATGCTTGCTTTTGAACTTTGCGTCGATAACAGTCCGGATGGTTCTTTTCCTCTTTGGCCCGGAGGACTCAACGTCCACTATTTCCAAAAACAATTTGAAATGTGGACTCGTCAGACCACAGAACACTTTTCCACTTTGCATCAGTCCATCTTAGATGAGCTCGGGCCCAGAGAAGCCGGTGGCGTTTCTGAATGTTGTTGATAAATGGCTTTCGCTTTTCTTAGAGGAGTTTTAACTTGCACTTACAGATGTAGCGATGAACTGTATTTGCTGACAGTGGTTTTATGAAGTGTTCCTGAGTTCGTGTGGTGATATCCTTTACACATTGATGTCAGTTTTTGATACAGTGCCACCTGAGGGATCGAAGGTCACAGGCCTTCAATGTTGGTTTCCAGCCGTGCCGCTTACATGCAGTGATTTCTCCAGATTCTCTGAACCTTTCGATGATATTATGGACCGTAGATGTTGAAATCCCTAAATTCCTTGCAATTGTACTTTGAGAAAAGTTGTTCTTAAACTGTTCAACTATTTGCTCACGCAGTTGTTCACTAAGTGGTGAACCTCGCCCCATCCTTGCTTGTGAATGACTAAGAATTTTTGGGGAAGCTGCTTTTATACCCAATCATGGCACCCACCTGTTCCCAATTAGCCTGCTCACCTGTGGGATGTTCTAAATAGCTGTTTGATGAGAATTCCTCAAAATTTTCAGCTTTTTCTGCCACCTTTCCCAACTTCTTTGTCACATGTTGCAGCCATCAAATTCTAAAGTTAATGATTATTTGCAAAAAAACAATAAAGTTTATCAGTTTGAACATTGAATATGTTGTCTTTGTTGTATATTCAATTGAGTATAGGTTGAAAAGGATTTGCAAATCATTGTATTCCGTGTTTACTTACAATTTACACATCCTCCCACCTTCATTGGAATTGAGTTTTATTTAAAAAATATACTCAAAAATTCAGTCTGTGGTTCCTTGTGTGTTTGATTTTTTTTTTAGATCTACTTTAGAAGAAACAGTAAACGAGAATGAGACTGTGATCCCTCCATCACCAGGAAGAGAAGAGTAAGTTCAACCTCTTCATTTTCCATCATCTCTTACTATTAAAGTTTTAACACTATTACGCTACAGGAGCTGCATTATGATTAACATTAGTTGTAGCTTTAAGGAGCTTAATGGTTTTTTTTTGTTGTTTGATGAGAAAATTTTGCACTGTCATCCATAGAAAAAAAAACAAAAATTCATTAGAGAACATCATATCGAAGAGCGCCCTGGATTCAGTTTAAATCAAAACCTTAAAAAATGTTTAATAGTTGACCTCACAGGTAGAAGGTTGTTTCTCTAACTCCTTTGTCTTCCTTTCTTTCATGTGACCTCTACAGGTCACCAGAGAGAGCACAGGAACCTGAAGCAGCCCCTAAAGTTTCAACCCCGAGAGAAGAGGAAGAGGAAGAGGCCGAGGCAGAGCCACAGGAAGACCAAGATGAGGATGAAGAAGCTCTCATGGTTCCTCAGGTCAAAGTAGCCGAGGATGGCACACTGATCATCGATGAGGAGAGGTCAGTGTAGATACGTCTCTATGTGACTGAACTCACCTTTGGATTTTGTAATCTAGTGGTCAACTCCTCTGTAAGATTCAGTTTTTGACCCACTGTTATCCTCTTAACCTGTGTCCCAGCTTGACCGTAGAAGTCCAGCGAGCCAAAGGGCCAAATCCAGCTCAGGATCGAGACCCCATCTTTGAGCGTGGCTCCACGACAACATACTCGAGCTTCAGGAAAGGGACCTATACCAAACCCTGGTCCAGTGAAGGTAGAGCTCATGTCGTTTGTTTGTTTGTTTATACCTGACACATTTCCTCTCCTATACCCGGAATGTGTGATTTTAATGTTGTTTGTTTTTCTCCATCAGAGACCGATATGTTCTTCTTGGCAATCAGCATGGTGGGGACCGACTTCTCCATGATTTGTCAGCTGTTTCCTCACAGAGCTCGATCGGAGATAAAGGTCAGTGCAGAAAACAGGCACATGTACTTTTCGGATCAGGGATGTAACAGCGTGAAAATCTGAAGTTAGGGTATTTATAACTGAATAAAAAAAAGACAATGTAACCTTAGAGGAACTGCTTTTTCTGTTGCTCTGAGGAGCCTGAAAAGTCCACCCACTTGTGTTGAGGAAGATCCACTCTGCTTGCTTGAGGCTCTTTAACTTTACCCTAAGAGTTTAGCTTAAGTGTGACAGTGATGGGAATTGACACTTCAGCTCCGGCGTGTTTACTCACCTTGATCCTTTGTTGTCAGCCACAGAAAAACGTCTGTAGATCTTTGCCTGCACACTGCAAAAACTCAAATTAGTGAGTATATCCTCAGCTGAATGTGTGTTCACTGCTTTGACTTGAACCTGCAGAACAAATTCAAGAAAGAAGAGCGAGCAAATTCCTGGAGAATTGACAAAGCTTTCAGTGAGTAATCAGTCACAAGGCATGCTGTCCTTTAGGTATTGCAAAGTTGGATCTAACTGTGATTTCCTTTGTAGGAGAGAGGCGCAAACTGGACATTGAGTATTTTTCCAAGCTGCTGGAAAAGATTTTAGAAGTTCAGAAAAACAGGAAGAAACTCAAGGCTTTGGCTAACAAGAACTCCAAGAACTCCAAGAAGCAGAAGAAGAAGACGAAAGGTCAATATTATCATCTGGGATTTTACCACAGAGATATTCTAACCACTGACTTGTCTCAAGTTGTTTAAATTTTAGCGATCAATGGGTTTTTTAAAATTTCTTCTACAGGTAAAAAAGCTGCAAAAATGCTGAGTGATGTAGAGGAGGAAAACGAGGAAGAAGAGAATGATATACCCGACTTGGAGGGGGAGGGTGAAAAAGAGAATGAGGCCCTCTGTAACGAAGGAGAAAGCCCCGTTTCTAAGCCCAAGAAGAAACGCAAACAAAAGAACGACGCCTCCAAAGAGGAACCAAAAAAGAAGAAAAAGAAATCGGACGAAAAAGGCAGTGAACAAGGTACAGAAGACAGAAGAGATTCAGGGATTTCTGGGAAAAGTCTTATGTTTGTGTCGATCCTCTAATCTGGTTTAACTGAATTTAACCCTCCTGTTATCCTTGGGGTCAATTTGACCCCATTCAATGGTTATCATTTTAAAAATGATAGTTGACTTTTGTTTTTTTGCTTCACATTTCATGACTATACCTAATTTGATGGGGACAACTGATTTAGCATAAAATTATCACATTGATATATTTTAAATGTGCTGTAAACATATTGCACGCATAGGTGTTCCTCTGGGGTCAGTTTGACCCCAAGCTGTTTTGGTTGTGTAAAACTTGCCTGTCTGTGTGTGTGTGAGACCTAACATCACCATATCTACAGGTGCAGAGTTGATAGTTTTGAGTTGGTACATAACTGGGAGGTGGAGAAAACAACTATCCCCTCCAGAACTTTGATACTTCTCATGGTGTGGACATGCAGAAAAAACTTGACTTGTGAACGCCTGCCAAAATGAGGAAGCCACTGTAGGCTTGCGAGTTGATCACACCCAAGTCTTTCCAACTACAAATACCTCTGAAATGATCATCTCAATACAATATTTTCAATTGATGGTTCTACGAAGAGCTTGAATAATGAATGTCTTCTGCATGGCGGACTGTGTGTTTTGTGAGACATGCTCATAGCAGCACGTCTACCTTGTTGTTGAAGTCAATAGAGGGACCATAATTTTCAATTTTTCCAACAAATAAACAAAGCAACTGACAAAAAATCTTGGTCAACAATTGCATGTAAATCATTTTCTGGAGGCAAATATACCTGGGGTCAGATTGACCCCGAGGGTAAAATGTGTTAGTAAAATTTGAGGACTATAGGAGGGTTAAAGAAAATAGATGCATGTAATTCTGAGGCAACAATATTAAGAATAGTAATAAGGTGAAAAGGACAGTCAAAGTGATAAGTTATCTGTGCATTTGGACATTATTCCTTGTTGCTTATGACTTAATTGCCTTTATAATCTCATTCTCAGATGAAGCCTGTATTCCTGAAGACTCTGAGGCAGCTCTTCCCGAGGATCACACAAATCCAGACATGTAATCGAACTTTTAAGATGTTTTAAAAGATGACGTTTCTGCGCATCCTGAGCTGGATTTAAGTGCTCTATCTTGTAACATTCAGGTCTGAAAAAAGCGAGGACACGAATGCGGCCAAAGACGCTGCAATCAAGCCGGCTAAGCTGTCTCGAGGCAGAGCACCGAAACCGCTGCTGCCTCTGGGGAGGAAGTGGGGTAAAAAGCTTCCACAGCCATCGACTAAAGCTGGAGAAGCTTCAGCGGATAAAGAGGACAAGAGTGTGACCGATGAAGCCTCTAAAGAGCAGGTAATTATCGGAGTCGGTTTGAGAGTCATCAGTGCTTCTTAACCCCACTAAAAGGATATTCTTGTCTTATTTAGGCAAATAAAGATTCTTCACCTTTAAAACAAGCTAATAAGAAGAAGTCTGAGGATGATGGCGACTCCTCTGAAGAGGAGGAGTCCACTGCTCCACCTCCTAGACCTACCAGGTATGACAGTTTATCAGAGACTTAAACCTCTAAGCTCTTAAAACATGTCGAGTATAAAAACGTAGGAGTTGTTCATCCACGTGTGTTTCTGTTTTGTAGGTATGGCCGAATCCCAAAACCCATCAAGCCCCTGACTTACCCCGCCAAAGAGGAGACACACTCCTCTGCATCTGAAAGCACTCCAGCTTCTCCTGCTGCTGCTTCTTCTTCCACTGCCAAGCCTAAATCCAAACCAGCAGCCAAGAGGGCAAGACCATCAAAAGTCCAGCCGGTCCAAGAGTCCAAAAAGCCCAAACTGGTCACCCTCAGGGCCTCGCAGTCAGACTCCAGTGATGATGAGAACGACCATCAGTGGGAGGAATACGAGGCAGAGGAGGAGCAGCACCTAGCATCTGGTAACGACAGCATCGCTTCTGCGTTCGTTCCCGCCAGCCTGCGCTCCCAACATCCTCTGATCTCAGAAGTGGAGGAGACCATGGAGGAGGTATGGAATACTCCCGGATGTCAGAAACACACACCGCTCATTCATTTTATTTTGACACGTATTTTTGTGCAGCATTATTTTGTGTGCGTGTTTGTTTTTCTTGTGCACGATTCTCCATTCCATAACTCGAACCCTCCTGTCTGACTCCCCTCATCCCGCACGTAGCTTGAAATCTTGGCCAATATGCCCGATGTGTTGGGCATCTCCCAAGATGCTTTGTGCCCTGATGCCTCTTGTGAGCTGGCACAAAATGAGACAGGCACAGCTGAACCCTGTGAGCATCAGTTGGACCTGCTGGTTGTAAGTGTCCCAAACCTAAAACCAGTTATCCCCAGTTAGACTTTGATTTCTTAAAGATTTGGATGTGCTGGTCTAATTGTTATAAAGGAAACTTACAAAACAGTGTAACTGGGGTTGTTGTGATACACATTTCCATATACATCCCATCATTTCTTGGTTATGTTGGCCTAAATGAGCAAGGTTTGGTTTCACCTCAGTTCATTCTTTTCCCTTTCAGGATGTGATTGAATTCCTCTCTGCAGATCACTCAGAAGGTATGTGGGATAAGTTTGCTGAGTAAGCTCTCTAGACATCTCTCAAACTGATGAAAATTAGTATGAAACATTTGTTAAGTACAATTTTTCACCTGGTCTCAAAGGGTTAATTGTGTTTGCATCTGTTTTTTTGAAGCATCTGAGGATCAGAGCTACAACGAGGCTGCTCAAACCCTGCTGACCATCGGCAATCTGGCTCACCTTTCTCACCCGGCGCAGAATCAAACAATAGGTAAGAGACAGACAGGGCCAAATACAAACTTGCATTTCGATTCGACATGTTGGGATAAAGTTTCTTTAAATTCAAAATGTGGCTTTATGTTTGGTTACAGAAACAACATCAGTCAGCGTCAGTGAAACTAGTCAGCATCCACAAGAAGAGACTGAAATGAAGCCTGTTGCACAAGAGGAAGGCAGTATCACTGCTTTTGAGTCTGCAGCTTCAGGAAGTGGAGTCACAGAAGCTGTCCCTGCGTTGGAGATACAAAAAAGCACAGCAGACGCTGATAACGTGCAAACTATTGGTCAGCAGGTAGATTCAGAAGTGGACTCAGCCACCAAACTACAAGCAATACCAGAGGATTCAAAGACAGACTCTCCACAAGCCAAGAAGGGGCGTTTATCCAAGGTGAAGCCAAAACCTAACTTGGGTCGAGCCTCAAGAGCGGCTCAGGTGAAATCTGGACCCAAGACATCCACAGCAGAAGAGGTGCACAAAGGGAATGACGTGCCATCCCAGTTAGAGGTCAAACCTACTGATGAGCCATCTGACAGACAGGAGAGGTCTGCTGCTGGGACATCAGATCCGGAGAGTCATGGACTTGAGGTAACAAGAGATTTGGGGTCCACAAATGTTGTTCCAAACTCTCATGTTGGGACTGTTAGAAGTAGCACAAATGATGTGGGGATTTCTGATTGTGTCGTCACAGACCCACAGATCCAACAAGTGACAGACACAAGTCCAACCTCTGTGGAAAAAAGCAGCGAGTCTCCGGCTTCAGGTGATACACCTGTAGAAGATTTACCTCACCCTCAGAAAGAAGAGACTGAAGATTCACCTGCTTCACAGACAAGAAAGAATCGATACCAGAGAGTCAAGCCAAAACCCAACCTAGCACAGACATCAAGAATGGTACGATCCAAACCTCAAACCACTGATGACACCTCAGAGAAAGACTCCAACCTAACTCCAAAGGAACATGAGGAAGCAAAAGAGGTTCCAGCAGAACCAACCCCCTCTCCTGAAAAACCAAGTCTTAATCAAGAGTTTTCATTAACTGAGGCTGGTTGTAGTAATCCCCTAAAACCAGACTCCAAGGTCACAAAAGCACAAAGTAAACAAGAGTCCAGCAGAGACTGTACCTCAGTTGTTTCCGTAGAGGTTTTATCTGTTGGTCAGAAAAAAGAAAGTGAAGATGAATCCACTTCTCAGACAAGGAAGAGCCGTTTCCAGAGAGTCAAACCCAAACCCAACCTGGCACAGACATCAAGAACTGTACGATCTAAACCTCCAATTGCTGAAGAAACTAAGGCGGAAGACTCCAACCCAAACTCAGGAACATCAGGGGAACCAACTCACACCACCTCGACTGAAATTTCAAGTCAGGGCATTGGCACCACATCAGCTCTCCCGTTGAATTTAGATTCGTCTCTTTCAACCACAGAGGAGTTATTGAAAACAGAGCTGGAAATCCAAGATATTTGGGTCGAGTCTGGAGCAGAAACAAGCAGTCAGAGTTCCTCAGAAGACCAGACCTACTCTCAAGTTCAGTATGAACCCATTAAAGAACAGGCCACCATGGACAAAAGTCCAACATCTGAGGGAAACACAGCGTTTCATGTTGGGGAAAGTGAAAGCAGTTGGAGTGATTTGCTGACACTGGGCCAGGTAGGCGAAGAGGGGTCGCAAGGGGACTCAGAGCCCATTCAAGAGACAAGTAACCAACCTGCTTCATGTTCTACTCATGTAGAGGAGGCACCAGCCAGTCAGGAACAAGAGAGTGAAGACCCATCCACTTCTCAAACCAGGAGGAGTCGATACCAGAGAGTCAAGCCCAAACCCAAACTGGCACAGACTTCAAGAAGTGTCCGATCCAAACCTCAAACCACTGGTGAAACATCAGAGAAAGACTCCAAACTGACTCCATGTCCAAAAGAACTAGAGGAATCAAAAGAGGTTCCAGCAGAACCAACCCCCTCTCCTGAAAAACCAAGTCTTAATCAAGAGTTTTCATTAACTGAGGCTGGTTGTAGTAATCCCCTAAAACCAGACTCCAAGGTCACAAAAGCACAAAGTGAACAAGAGTCCAGCAGAGACTGTACCACAGTTGTTTCCGTAGAGGTTTTATCTGTTGGTCAGAAAAAAGAAAGTGAAGATGAATCCACTTCTCAGACAAGGAAGAGCCGTTTCCAGAGAGTCAAACCCAAACCTAACCTGGCACAGACATCAAGAACTGTACGATCTAAACCTCCAATTGCTGAAGAAACTAAGGCGGAAGACTCCAACCCAACCACCAACCCAAACTCAGGAACATCAGGAGAACCAGCTCACACCACCTCGACTGCAATTTCAAGTCAGGGCATTGGCACCACATCAGCTCTCCTGTTGAATTTAGACTCACCTCTTCCAACCACAGAGGAGTTATTTAAAACAGAGCTGGATATCAAAGATATTTGGGTGGAATCTGGTGCAGAAACATGCAGTCAGAGTTCCTCAGATGATCAGACTTATGCTTCATGCTCTACTAATGTAGAGGAGGTACCAGCCAGTCAGGAACAAGAGAGTGAAGACCCATCCACTTCTCAAACCAGGAGAAGTCGATACCAGAGAGTCAAGCCCAAACCCAAACTGGCACAAACTCCAAGAACTGTCCGATCCAAACCTCAAACTAGCAAAGACATCACTAACAAAGACACAGTCCTAACTCCAGACCCCTCCAGAACTAAAGCAGACATTCCTGTCAGCACCATTTCTCCTGAAAACACATGTCCAAGCCCTGGTCCATCACCATCACTGGAATCAGACTGTACTCCTGTTTCCCTCTCTCTAGAAAAACCAAGCCCTGGACCTGCCTCAGTTTCAGTACCATCATTAGAATTAAGTTCTGCTGAAAAACTCACAGGGGAACTTTCTTCAGCTGAAGAGCCTGTGTCTGATGTTGGACTGGACTCAAGCTTGGAAGGGTCTCAACAGAACGTTCCTCAAAGGAGGCAACGATTTCCCAAAGTCAAACCCAAACCCAATATTGGATCATCTGTTAAAGGTAGACGGACCAAGAAGACACAGGCAGGTGGTCCCTCAGAACAGGGTCACATGGACAACACTGGAGCAGAAAGAGAACTTAAACCTACAGAACAGGACAGCGAGAACTTAAAAATAGGACTTGTTGGTTCAGAAGAGTCTGGGTCTGTTGAATCAGGGACTGCTTCTCCGTTTACCGAGGATCTGTCTTTATTTTCCAACTCAGTGCTTCAAAATAAAAGCACTGAGACAACAACAGCTGAAGAAGGATCTGAGGGAGATAAACTTTCTCATGATCAGGTGGAGGCTGAAACTTCCTCACTTTGGGACACCAGTCAGGATCTGTTTATTGAAGCCATGGACACAAACACCGAATCAACAGAAGAAACAGCTGAAACTGTGGGGGTTTGGTCCTTGGAAACAGTCCAACAGTGTTCTGAAACTGATCAGCCGACCTCCCAAAGGTAAAACTTGCATGTTTTCTATATCATGACCCCCTTAAAGCACGTGACTCCCCCTTTACAGAGTTTTGTTTTCCTCTTTAAGCTCTCAGGATGACCACTTGGAGCCAACAAACTCCCCCAAGTCCCCAATAAAAGCTCCCCAGAGTCGCCGAGGCTGGTCTATGAAACCTAAACCCAACCTGGGACGCAGACGCCAACCTCCTCAAATCGAAGAAGCTCAGCCTATAAAAGAAACACAAGCAGAAGCAGGTTTGACTCCTTTGAATGAAATTAAATCCTCTGTTTCTAAATTCTCTCTTGTCTCTCTGTAGATCACGAATATTTCTGCTTCTTCTCAGACTCTGACAGCGGCTCAGTAGGCGTAAATGCCTCTGTGTCTCACAAACCGGTTTCTGAGCTCCAACCTGAAATCCAGGACCCATTAAAGGAGGTTCTTGAACACTCTATTACCCAGAGCTCTCCACTGATTGTTGCTGAATCGCCTTTGGGTTGTGCATCACAAGTAACTGACAGTTCTACTCAGGTATTTATGAACATTTGCATCCAAATATTGTGCAGTTATTGCGTCTTTTATCCTATTAAAATTCTCATCACGGACTGTACAATAACTCAAAAGTGAAGGACAGCTGTGCTGCAGCTTTGCAGCTTTAGGAAAGCTTCATTTTTTAAATTTAGATCATGAAATCTGTCCTCATCTCTGCTCAAATCCTTAAACATGCCTCTTTGATTCTCCTCAATCCAAGGATGCGCCGTCGTCGAGCGCAGAAGGGACCCAGAATCTTCCAAGTCTCTCGCTATTTCCAGACAGTAAGTCAATAACAGATCGCTCACATCTGTTCACTTTGTGCTGAGAATAGCAAACAGTAAACGCACTTTGGTTTGAGCTTCTCTCTCACTCTCGTCCACAGTGCTGTCAGGGCAGCTGCCTTTAGATCCAGATGAGCCGTTTTTCACCCTCTGTCTGACGGAGATCCCGGTCTGTTCTTCAGGAGGGGTGCTTGAAAGTGTGGCCGAGGTCCACCCTTATACTCCTGTGACAGATACGTCAGTACAGCAGCAGAGGTTAGAGTGCTTGAATTTACCTGCTTTGTCCATGCTTTGACTAGACTATTTCTGCAGCTTGTTCTCACCTCTCTACAGTGACGCCGGAGTGAATGTAGCAGCAGTGGACAGTGAGCCTCTGTTTAAAGTTGCTGTACCTGAGTCTGGAGAGGAGAAAGACCCCGTCACTGTTAAAGATCCTGAGCCGGACTCAGCTGCATGCACAGTAAGTCAAGTTACAGGGAGCCAGTTGTTGCTGCAGTACCGTCAAACGCCTGAATGTGTCACTCATGTCTTGTTCTCACTCATACCAGGATTTGATCATCGAGGATCCAGTGAAGCCAGAAGGTAAAGAGATCGCATGATATGACTGTCTTTTTTTAACAACTGATACATGGCACTTTAGAAATAGTTAATGTGGATTTACTTTATTTGTGGTACAGGGAGTACTGCAGTCCAGTCACCCAGAATACCGGAGACTAGGGAGGGTAAAGATGAGACTGAAATCCCCCCTACAAAGCAGAGACTTCAGGGCACAACAAGAAGAGGTATGCACTCAATGACTACTTCTACCACCTGAAGCAGTCTTTTTTTTTTTGTTCCTCAATGGAGTGCTGCAAAAATGTGCTCTGACAAGAACTGTCACGATCTGAATTAGAGCTTTTAAATAATGCGAGCAGCATCAGTGAAATGGTTTTTGCCATAATTCAGCAGCCTTACCCGCCTCTGCTTCTCAGTCTGTGCAAATTAGTACAAAAATTAAAAACGCTTCTTTTTTGAATGGAGTTTGGTTTGAGTGTTTTTGATGCAGAGTCAGAATCTCAAAGCTTTTAAACCTGTGTGTCACACTTGTTTTCTTGTCTTTGCTTGATTTTTGCATGGATATTTTTTGGCCTTTTGTTTAAACATCTGTTCCTCATTTCACCCACCTTCACAAACTTGAATTTTTTTTCTTTTGAACAGCCAAACAGCAGGTTAAGCCAAAAACTTCAAGGAAGAAACAAGCCAGCGAGGTGGACACTGCTGAGGAGGACGACGTGATCCTTGTTGAAACTAACACCACTGAGGAATCAGAGCTGCCCGGCTTTTCTGTGCAGCAGAGGGGATATGATGAGGGTGTCTCTGAGCAACAGGAGAAAGGTAATAATCGTAAGAGCACTGCAAAGAGAGCTGTAACAGCTTCGAAGGACCCTGAAGAAAGCGTTTCAGGAGCACAAAAAAGGCAGACAAGAGGGGCTCGGAGCAGGTGAGGAAAAAGCAAAAAAATGAGAGACGATAGAAAATTTCTTCAGCTTCGTGTTTGTGTTGATTTTATTTTCAACTATCCAACAGAAAACCTCCAGGCTCCCTCTCTGAGAATAAAAGCTCTGCCCCACCAAGCGATCCTCCACCTGCAAAAGCAGACAGAGCCAAAACTCCTCGTGCAGGACGACGACAATCAACTTCAAAAGCTGCAACCTCAACATCAAATGTGGCTCACGCATCCTCGACCACACTACCGACACGGACAGAGCTGGACACAGAACCGGCTTTTGACTTTCCACTCCGCTCAGATTCACCTCTTAACGCCTCTCAGTCTTCAGTCGGGGTAGGGAGGGCGCAAACATGTCAGAGGGGAGCAGAGGTTTTTACACACGTCTTGTTTCTTTATCATTTTTTTCTTCTCAATTTCAGGCGTCGTCTTCCCAGCAGAGCCTCGACGCCAGCTCGATAGAAGACGCCACCAGCGTGTCTCAGTATTTCTTAAGTGACATTTTCACAGACGCGGAGGAGGGATGACAGATGAGAGGAGGAACCTGCCAGCGGCTTTCCTTTTAAAGTTTTTGTTTTGTTATATCTGTGAAGTTTAATTTATTACTTTGAGATTCAGTTTGTGTTTACCAGGAATAACAATGTGAAGCTAGAAAAAACTACACAAGCACTTTGAACATTATAGGGAGAAACTTCCTCAAATTCCTTTTTTATTCTTCAGCCGTTAGTTCAAATAAGCCTCAAATTACAAACTTCAATTGTGAAGGGTGAATCCCTGTTTTGTCTTAAACAGTCGGCAGCTTTTTTCCTGTTTTTTTATTATGTGTTTTGCTCAGACTCCCTCATTTTGTTCATAAAATAGCTGTAAAATGTAAATATTGTACAAATGTTGCGGTAATTTTGGATGTTCCTTTTTCACAACTTTTATTTTTATGGCCTCAGGAAGAAGAACTCACATTTCTCAACATCATATCCAGCTGTTTGCTCAAATTTCGCAATTTTTTTAGCCTCTTATGTGTATTTTTGCGCACATTAAATTGTTAATCTGATTAGGGCAGAAATTAAAATTCATCATATTGCATCATTAGATTTCCCCAGATTGAGAACAGGGGATGTTCAACAGAAAATCCATTTCAATGTATAGACAGAGTATATGGATATAAGGCGGTATTGTACAGATGTTTTGTACTTGAAACAAAAACAGATCACTCATCTGCTCGAACTGATTTCATCTGTTCACTACTTTAAAACCTGAAATAATGTTAGATATAAATAAAAAGTAATCTTTCACCTCAACTTGATCCGGTCTGTCATTTATGTAGATTCACTAAAATGCAGATTTGCAAGTTAACCATTTGCAGAAGTTTTCCAGCTTCTACAATTTCTCCTAACAAATTAATGCAAATTTTAAATTTGTGTTCATATGTATGACTCTACAGAAGAGGATGAGGGCCCCTGGGAAAAAAAAAAAAAGGTCAGATATAATTTTTTTATCATTCTGAGAAAAAAAGTCTTTTTTTTTTTTCATAATAATAATATAATTATATCTGACCTTTTTTTTCCCCCGTGGCCATAATCCTCTTCCATACATGTTCAAACGTTGTTGATACAGCTCTTCTGTCTCTCAGTGCGCTTATAGACCTCAGTGTGACATTTAACACAAACGACTGTCACCACCTGTCACTAGACCTTTAACAATTAATCGGCATTAGAGGAGCAGCATTAATCCGCTGTAAATCCTGTTTATCAGATCTATGGCGGTTTGTGCACGGTAATCTTAAATGTAGTGATGCGAGGATGAAGCGTTGTGAAGTATTTTCAAACCTGCAAACACAGTGTCCTGTGGTGGCTTGCGTGGCAGCCCTCTTTATAATGGTGTTTAGCATTAATCTACCTTGACTACACTATGATTTGCATCAAAAAAAGCATTTGTTTGTTGTTAAAAGTCATGCAAAAGTTGAAAGGCAAGTTTTTTTTGTCATGTTTGCAGGAAGGTCTGTTTAGCATCTGGACTCCTCTACTACCGAGCGAAATTGTTGTATACATACATACAGAATATGGTTTAGCATTGTCCTACTCAAACATTCAAGGTCCTCTCTGAAACGGCATTGTGGTTTATGAACTCTGCACTGACAAATTTTGATTTGTTGCTCCAAGGGACAGTTTCCGACTCTGCCTCAGTCCACTTTAACAAGACCCAGAGTAGTTTTCTCAGGCCTGTGCAGTGATTTCCACGACAGAGTCATGCTTGTTTTCATGCAATTCCACCTGAGGGCAACAAGATCCTGTTAAGACAGAGCTTTCTCCAGATTGTGAGTCTTTTACCCAAATATGCACATGCATTTATATAAAATATGTTACTACAGGTCTAGATTTGGTCATTCACAAATTGCATTAATTAATATTTAGCAGTGGCTAATACAGACCATATCGCATCCATCGCTTTCTTATTACTTTAAATTCTCATTTTGTTTTTGAGTTAATAGATGCAATCACAGTTATCTTTTTATTACAGCTGACTTTTCACAGCCTCAGTAAGTTTAAAAAACACATTAAATATCCTCTGTGTATTTATGCCTCGGTTGTCGTCCATGATAAGGCGGACAGAAGAAAGGGCTCCGGGTTTAAGAGTCCTCTAATCTCTCCTGCTGCGACCTCTCGTAGTGACGCTAAACACTGTTTTGATCTCTCTGTTGAGTAACTAATTGCTCTGTCCTCTCTAAACACTCTTTCACTCAGCTGTGAGATTAGTTGGTCCTCTCACTTTGCTTTCTGCTGACAGCCTAGAACCCGGAGCGGAGAGGACCTCTGAGACCCCGAGGAGAGGCAACATGAACGACAACATACAGGTCAGTGTATTTTTATCTGTAAAACAGTATCATAGAGTTGGATACTGTCACTCAGGACAGGGATGCATATTTATGTTTTAAACTGTGGTGTATTGTTATGCTTTAATTAATTTTAACCCATACACTTAATTGAGCCTTTTTTTCCTCTTAAAAGCTGGAGGTAGGCCAAGAAAACATGATCTACTAATCAAACCCCGATCGTAAAGGTTTTTAGATTATCATTAGATATTTTAATCTTGTCAACATGTCATTTAGAGCCAGTGACTCCCTGGGTGGCTTAGGGAAGGAAAATAAAGGAAAAATGGTACAAAAATGATAAAAAAAAGGTTAAAATGACACATTGAAAAAAATCAATTATAAATAAAAACATTATTTATTGTTATTAAAAATGTTTGAATTCATCAGGACGTTGAATATTTAGTATTTTAACAGCCAGGAAATGTAAGAAAGTTAGGAAAACGTGGCTCCCTGTCTGACACTAATGCCATAGGGGGTCCTTTCATACGTTCATGTTGGTAACCTGGTCTGAAGATACAAAAAATAACCTTAATAAAACAACAATTTTTTTTCATGTTGCATTGTTCAAATTATTATTTTTATTTTACTTTTAATCCATGAACCGTGTTTTTTATCTTGAAAATAAATACCGCTGATTCCAGTAGAACTGCACCACTGTCATTAATTGTTCTTGTGCTCTCGCCACTTTATGAAATCTCTGCTGATATTATGTCACTCACTGCGGGAAGATTTTAGTAAATAAGCTGGATATTTGAAGTAAAGGTTATGTCACTTTTAAGGCTCAGTGCAGAGCAAAGGAACAACGTATCAGCTCAGCCCAGGCTCTGAAAACATGACCAGTCATACAAGTAGCCTTTGATCCATAAGCTGAACCAGCTTTAGGATGTATGGTATGTGTGTGACATAAACCAACAAGTAATCCTGTGTTAAGAAATGTTGTAAAAGTCTTATATAACAGTAGTTAATGCAAAGAATAAAAAAGTATATTAGGTTGTTGAAGGCACATTTAGAGAGCCACAAGATAAAAATAACAAAAAAATTGAAAATATTAGTATACAGACATAAATATTTATACTGTTTTATTGATTTTGAAAGGCAATCTAACATCAAAACAAGCTGCTAAGTGTGTTTTCTATAAAACGTTCTCTTTGCGTTCTTGGAGACTCCTTTGTTTAATTACCGATCTAAGAATAACAAATCTTGTATTTACAGACAAACTCAAACAGGATTTTCTAACCCGGAGGAGTAAAAATCTTAACCCCCCGCACCTTTTTGTTTCTCTGGGATAAACTCTCCTGAAATCACTGCAAAGCTCTGACTTTTCTCACGGCCCCTCACAGCTGGACTGTGTCCAGAGATTAGTCTGATGCACTAATCTAACATCGTAGCCCCACGAAGACCGGGCTCTTACATAACAAGGTCTGGCTCAGGTGTTTTAAGTTTAAGGATCAGCTGTATTTAAAAGTCACAAGGCTTATGGTAGTGACTGGCACCTGATTCAGATTGGTTGTCATGTATGTCGCTATCAGCAGATATCCACAGTAAGTCCACTACTGCATAAGTTTGCTGTTTTGTGCTTGTAGAGGTAAATTCACCTTTTACGATTGACTCAAGAGTTTCCCAGAATGCACTGTAGGAGCAAATGAACAATCTAACCGAACTCTACATGCTTTGATCATTTTAATTTTGTCTGACCAATTTTGTTCAACAAAGATCAATAATTTAAAGTGCAGGAAGAGGCAACAAGTCCATAAAGCGTATTTAAATACTCCACTTAACTTAAAGCTCCTGTGGGGAGTTTTTAACTGCTCATGAAACAAGCGAAATTAATACAGGTGTGTCAGTTTGACCTGAAAAAGCAAATAAGACCATCATTGAGAAAAGACACTCAATTAGTGAAACATTTGATTTAAAAGAGCTGGAAGAGTTTTTACGTGAAGACATGAATTTGACAAAATCAGTGGGGACTATTTTGTCCACAGGGGGTGCTAAAATCAACACAAACTGAAAGTTCCCCACAGGAGCTTTACAAAGATGACAAGGAGACATGCTAAAATATAATTACTATCAAATATTTGACAATACAAATACAGAAACAACAACAGCTAAACCAAAAACAGTAAGAATGAATATGAGTTTTATGAATACATGAGTGTGTGGGAGGGCAACACTTTAAACATCTTTATTAAAGCTCCTGTAAGGGTTTTTTTGATGTTTACAAAATGGACTGAAATTCATACTGATGCCTTTTTATGATGAACACAATATAAAAAGACCAACAGTAGCTGCAGAAAGAACTCTTTTTATAATTTGTATGTGAATTAATCACAGTAAATGACACATTTGACTATCAGTAAGACTTTTATTGCCAGAAAACACTACTTAAGCAAATCTAGGACAGCATATGCAAAAACTACAATGTCGCCAAAGTTGACGCAAACTAAAAGTTCCAAACATGAGCTTTAAATAAATTCTTGAAGTACTCTGGGACGTCCCCTCACATGATATTCATCAAAACATACATTTTAGAAATATTGGTGTTAAAAATATGAAGAATCAAGAGCTTCTGACACAAAAGGTATTTTCATGTGTGCACCAAAAGAAACAAAAATATTACCAAAAGTGCAGGTAAAGTGCAAAATTTTGTTTTGACATCTGCTTGAACTCCCTTGATAACTGAGCAGGATGATAGTTAATGCTCTCAGACATGGTCGTAATTTTTGAATACACTCAAACATTATGGTGCATACTGACAAACCATCCCATTTTTTTGTGTTCATCATCATCAACCACAGACCAGCACTGATGGAAATGTCTTTAATTTTTCAGATTTTTTATCACAAGACAAACTATTGGATGAAACCCAAATTCTGACCTTTGGGTGGTATTTAAGTCGGCCGAGAAGTCACCGAAGTGATTCGAATTTATCTGGAGGGGAATATAAAAGTTTCTTTTCTTTTAACAAATGTTTCATGAAACTCCATTTAAAAGTTCTGGAGACATTTCAAACTAAACTTCAGAGGCATCAGGGGATGGTTTGGTAAGGTCACATTTCAGAATAAGTTGTCTGGGGGCAATGGAGTCGCATAATTTAGTGCCAACCCATCTGGTACACCTAAAGCTATTTCACTGATTGAATGAATGAAAATTTAGAGAAAAAAAGAGGTTCTATTAGAGCAGAAGTCAGGAGATCACCGAAGTAATAACCATCTGGGGATCATCATCATCTGGGGACCATGACAATGCATAACTTAGTTACAGCCTGTATCAGGTATTCTTGGATCACATTATAATTAAGCATTTGTTCTCAAAGTATTATGGAAATTTTGTACCAAATTTTACAAATCTGTGGGAGGCATCATCTTGGGACCATGAATGTCCAGAATTTAGCTGCAGTTTATCTAGTCTGATAAATGAAAATTTGGATGCTTTGACTGTGCAAGCTAAAAACTTCAGAGAGTAATTTGGAGTTGTCTCCTGGGGACCATGAATATTTCTGTCAAATTTGATGGTTTTACATGCAATAGCTCACAAGAGGAAACATTTTGGCAATAACCTGAATATTGGTTATATCATCTGGAAACCAAGACAAGGCATAACTTCGTCACAATCTGTCTCAAATGTGCTTTGACGACATTATTAAGAATTTATCCTCTGAGTATCATGGCAATTTTCTAAACTTGACTTAAAACCACTATAAAGGGACAGGTGGTCAATCTATGGTGTGCATCACCCAGGGACCATGAACATCCAAGAATTATGCCGTATATCATCTGGTAAATCTTAACTATCCCAACAATGAAAAAAATTCTGGACTCTGGCTGTCCGAGCTAATAATTCATAAAAGTATCTCAGATTGGTCCTCTGGGGACCATGAACATCTGCACATATTTCCAGGCAATATGCACTATATATATTGAAGCACTTAAACTTCAAATCCTGGATGGAATAAGTGGAAATGTTCGGGAAAACATCTGTAGGATAAATAGTTTTAAAACCATTTAATGTACAAGAATCTGCTGAGTCCACCATAAGCTTAGATACTGGGTGAGTACAACTTTTATTCATCAATGAGAAGTTGGCAAATTGCCAAACTACTCAAGCTGTATCCTCGGGGGACCATGAATGTCTGCATTTTACCTCCTAAGCCTGTCTGTAGGAAGCAGCAGAATAGAAATCATTACTGTGCAAAATTTGGTGTCAATCTCTCGGGTAAAAGCTGAGTCTTGTCACTTAACTGATAAAAAGTTTGACCTGCTGTTTGCACCTGAAAGTTGTGCAGCCACATGCTTGCTTTTTGAGTGCCACAAGTTGCCCTTTTTTTAAAAGTTAATACCATGAATAATCAGCTAAAGACTGTCCTCTGTCCCTGTGATTTTGCGCAGGATGAAGTGGTGCTGAAGCAGATTGAGAAGGAGGTGAGGATGCGGGAGGGAGCCAGTAAGCTGCTGGGATATTGTTCCAGGAGAGAGCAGGCCCTGGAGGCCTCCAAGAATCTGCTTACCTGCAATACCCGCATTCTGGCTCTGCTCAGCCAACTGCAGAGGATGAGGAAAGCCCAGATCCTACACGGAGTGGAGTGCAGGTCAGATGGAGGGCAAGGATACAAATTTTTATGAGTGTACAGATTTTTTTATAATCAGAGGAAGGGGGCATGATGGAATGCAGAAGAAATAAGTTGTTTGTTCATGTTGCCATTCCACCTTCCAGCCACTAGAGGGCAGGAGGACCCACTCCTTTAGGCCCTGAAGCCTCTCAGGTTAAGAGCAATTCATTTAAATCAATATGTGGCTTTATTAGGTGTATTGTGTTTCAAATACAAATGTGTATGCAGCAGGGATCAGTCTTTTTATATAAAAACAAAGATAAATGTTTTTTTCACTTATATGTTAATTTAGCACCTTTTCTTCTTGAGGCTGTAACCTGTGCTGCTGTTGAACTGGATCGAAATGTTCCTGCCGTTTCATCATCTGTACATTCTGTACTCTGCTGCCTGTATGTTTGTATGAACGCACAGTTACATAGATGCAATATTTGCCTTACAGCAGACCATCTGAGGATGTGGTGCCATGCTTGGGAAAAGTAGCTCTCTCAGGTAGTGTTTTAAAAATATCTTATAACAAAGACAAAGAAACACTTGATCTCTGCTGCCATCTTTCAAATTCGATTACTACGATCCTCGCTCCGCAGACCTGCGAATCCCGCTGATGTGGAAAGACACAGAGTACTTCAAAAACAAAGGAGGTGAGTCAGACTGATCTCAAATGAGGTTAAATGGACTGAGAGAGAAATAATCTCAAGCATTTTATGGCATGGAAACCACGTCAACCTTCACTGAAGTGCTCTTTTTTGTCAGTTTTGATTATGGGTGAGGTTTATCACAATGCTCTATTAGGGCTAAAACTTGGTCAAACCGAGTCTGATACCTGTCTGCAGTAGTGTCCTCATGTTGGTGAAAAATGGCTAAAATAGCTGTAGATGCTCTTCCAGCATATAAATCTTTGAAGGGCATCCAGGGGCATTTTTTATTGCTTAATACACTGAAAGGGCATCCAGAGGGCACTTTACAATTACATGAAATGTGAAGTCAAGTGTCCACTGGAAGCTTTTTGATCTCATAATTAATAAAAAATGCCGTCTAGATGCCCTTCCAGTAGATTAAATTTAATAACAGTGCAATTTGGTTGCCCTTCCAGAATGTTTAACAAGAAATACTGCCCTCCAAAAGCACTTTTATTGGATAAAACATAAAAATGTTTGCTGTAGATACCTTTTCATTATATAAATCTTTTATTAATGTACCCTCTGGATGCTCATCCATTCAATCAAATGTAGAAAAGGCCATTCAGGAGCCCTTCCAGCAGAGAAATGTTTAAATAATTGCCCTCTGGATGCCCTTTTATGGGTTAAATCACAACAGTTTTCCTTAACAATTTCCTTTTAGGATATGAAATCATATAAAAAAAAAGTTCTTTCTGGATTCCCTCCTGGGATATGAAACATAAAAAAGTGCCATCTGGATGCCCTTCCAGAAGATTTATTTTAAAAAATAGTGCAATCTGGATGCCCTTCCACAATGTTCAATATAAAATACTGCCCTCCTAAAGCACAAACATTGGATGAAAACATAAAAATGTTTACAGTCGATACCTTTACAGTCTGTAAACCTAATAAAAAAATCTGTCCCCTGGATGCTCTTCCATGCAATAAAATGTAGAAAGGCCCATTCAGGAGCCCTTCAAGTGGATGAATGATTTAAAAAGTGCCAACTGGATGCCCTTTTATAGGATGAATCATGACAATGTTCCCTAAAAATTTCCTTTCAGGATATATAATTGTAAAAAAACGTTCTACCTGGACTCCTTCTTAATATATGAAACATAAAAAGTGCAATCTGGGTGCCCTTCCAAAAGATTACATTTAAAAATAATGCAGTTTGATGCCCTTCCAGTATGAAAAATGTTAAATCATATAATAAAAAACAATCACCAGAGAAGCTTCCATGGGATAAAACTGGAAAAAAGTGCCTGCTAGAAAATAAAGTGAACTTTTTTTCTTTTTGCCCTGCAGAGCTCCATCGCTGTGCTGTCTTCTGTCTGCTGCAGTGTGGCACAGAGATATATGACACTGATATGGTTATGGTAGACCGGACTTTAACTGACATCTGTTTTGAGGACACTATCGTATTGTGAGTCACTTTTTTTTTTACATATTTCATACTCAGACACTCTGTACAGCCCTGAGTTTATGTTTCTGTGTCTGCATGAGAGCAGTAAGGAGGCAGGTCCAGGCTTTCAGCTCCGTGTTGAGCTCTACAGCAGCAGTGCAGTTGAGGACTTCTCCCCGGGGACTCTGGGACCCAGGAGAGTAGGCTACCTGGGGGGCTCTCTGGGATGTTCCTCTGGGAAAAAGATCCGTGCTGCTTTGGAGTCTGCAGCAGTTTGTGGATCGGTGTTAAACTCGGGATTTGCAGGGCATGGAAACGTGTCACCGCCTCTGTCCCCCAACATGTCACGGCTGTAAGGATGACAACGCCCCCTGAAAGATTTCTCATATAGATAGATTTTTCAAAATATTAAAACTAAATGTTCCTAACTTTCTGTCTTAAGGGGGCCTAAGTATAACCTGCTTGCTCACACTACTCTGACAATCGAACATATAAAAGACGGTTTCAAGACGCACGATTTGTCAATAGCAGCAACAGGTGAGTCCTAGTTTTTTCTTGTATTGTCTTCAATCAGATCTTTATCTTCAATAAAATCCATATTCACCCTCTTTCCTTCCAAGAGGAGAGCGCCTTCTGGTTGCCTCTGTATGGCAACATGTGCTGCCGCTTCATGGCTCAGCCTCTGTGCATGATCCAGCCGGTCATGAGGGGAAAACTCAAGCTCAAGGTGGCTGGATTTTCAAATTACCTGTCCTTGTGATTTTCCTGAACACCGCATCACATTATCATTCACTGAATCACTTTTCTCTCCGCTCTCGTTCAGCTTGAAGAGGACCTTAATTGCTGGGAAAATGTCTTCTGCGTCCTCAGGGGCCACAGTCTTCTCTGCTATCAGAGTGAAGAGGACCTGGAGTCTGAGGACGAGCCGTTACTTGTAATCCCCGTCAAAAAGGTTGGTGATAATGAATTAAAGTCTCATGAATAAATAGATGGATTCATTTGGGGGTTTTGTCCGTGTTGATTACAATAACAAGCCGAGGCCACCAGAGTGCACCGGTGAATTAATGCAAAAGTTCTTCTGAGGGTAAACCTGATGTAACGCCGAGCCTGTCAAGAAAGATGTTTGATACACTTTCATCAAAATTAATTCATACCAAAACTTGTGCTATCTAATACGTTTAAGATGTGGCTTTTTAAACACTTAAATGGTGCAGAGTCCCTGAAGTGACGTGAGGTAAAAGTTTTATCTTCGGTTCATAAGTCATTAACCTGTGACCAGAGGAGTTAGGGGTGGGGACAAAAAAAAATGAGAGGAGGAACTTTTTTTCTTTTTGCACTTTTAGAAAAGCTTAAAATGTTGAGAAAAAGGTTGAAATTTTGAGAATGAAGACATATTTATTATTAAGGGGTACTAATAAAAATTTTAAATAAATAAAGTTGAAATTTATTAAGAAAAAGTTCAAATTCAACTTTTTGAAGTGGTCAAAAAATGAAAGAAAGATGTCAAAATGTCAAGAAAAAAGTAACATTTTTAGGAACAAAGTCAATTTCAGTGTTAGTGAACAGAAAATAAAAGTTCAAAAGTTAAGAGAAAAATGATTACATTTAAAGAAAAAAATGCCATCTGTTAAGAGAAAGTGGAAATAATTCAAAAGTTTGATTCAAAATTAAAGAATTAAGTCAACATCAATTGGCAAGAAAGATGATAAAAAGCCTTTTTCTGATTAATCTAAATGTTAAAAAGTCACAATTTTTAAAAAAAAGTTAAGAATTTTGAAAAAGAGTTGAAATTCCAAAAACAAAATAGACATTTTGGAGATAAATTTTTGAATTATTTTGGAATGAAAGTGACATAGTGTGTTGAAAATTTCAACTTTTTAACTCTTTCTTGAAGTCTTTCATAACTATAAACCAAATTCAGCTCATATTTTTATTTTTTGTTCATCCCTAGGTAACGTACTAGCTTACATAATAATACATTGCAATCTAAATTCACACAATCAAAAAGCAAGCTGCCATCAAATCACTGCATTCAATATCAACAATGGATGTTAACGGCAAGAGGAATAATTACTACTGTAGACCATTAGTGATACCTGAATGAATGTGACTGGAGAGAAGATTGACTAAATGCTGTTAACATCACATGACACCATCAGCCAATACATGTTTGGAATAGAGCTTTCTGATTGGCTTTGGGGGCACACATTTTCATAACAATGCCCTACAGGCCACACTGGTTTTGTAGTTCCTATGATGTAACTCTGTGTAAAAGTTGAAAAATAAAATATTTGCAGCTGAGAGTCATTCCTATTGTTTTTATTGGCTGCAGATTCACTCTGAGTTTTTGTCAAATTGCCTTTGAACTGCTCAGTCATTTTGTCAATCAATATGACAGCTGTCAAGAAGACAGCCAACTAAAGCATTGTTGTTTACTGCGATATGTTATTATTGGGGAAGGTTCTCAGCAGACTCCCTGCAGGTACTTTGTCATCTATATTCAAGCAAAACCTGATTTTTAGTGAAATGTGATAATCACGAGTGTGTGTGAACGTGTGTGTTTTTCTGTTCAGGATACGCTCGTGTGTTTATCGGAGACAGATCCAGGCCAGTGCCAGAGTATTTTCATCAGTACAGAACATGACGGGGAGGATGTCACCTACACACTGATTACACACTCACCTGCAGACACACGGCGCTGGACTGAGGCCCTCTGGAGACACGTCTTCAACATGAGTAAGGCCTCAGAAAACCCTATATTCATACCTTAACCATACAAGCCAAAATCTCCCTGTCTTAAATATCTTATAAATGCAACCGTAAGGCTTTATTTAAGCAACAAAACATTCTTATCCCTCTGATTTTGGACAGCCAAATGCCACAAATAGTAAAGCAACAAAGAAAGAAAGAATCCTCCCCCCTTACACCAGTTTCATGCTTTACAAATAACAACATAAAACTTGTCAGTCTTGCTTAGAATGGTTTTGTTTGCTTTTGTAGATCATAAAAAGGCGTCAATCTGAATTTCAGTCAATTTCATGCAGGTAAAAAAAACTCCTTATAGTAGCTTTAAAAGTCTTTATGCAGCATGCGTTAAGTCACCCTTCCCTTTGGTAAGAACAAAGAAATTATAACCACTTATAATAACGCACTAAATGAAGTGTTTATAAGTTATAACTGGATGGAGTTGTGGGAGTTATGTGTTACGAAACTCTGAATTCAAAAGACGCAATTGTTGGCTTTGTGTTAAAGGAACAATGAACTATAAATTGTGGTCTCATAAGGCATTTCCTTTGCTACTTATTCACGTCATAGACATAATTACTTTTAAGGGTGTTCTAGGGCTTTATTAATGCGCTTATGGTGTATATAAGTGTAGGGTGTTCATAGCTGCTACCTTTGAATTAGAGGACTGGGTTCATCTCTCACTGTTGCCTCACTGCTTCTTTCCTGTTTCTCTAAAAGCCCCCTTAAATGTTCTTAAAAACAGTCAGTATGACAAAATACTTGCTGCAAGCTGCCGTACCCACAGTTACACTGTAATACTGTTAAATATAAACTTCAACTTGACAGCTTGGCAGACGCCAGCAGAGCTGTCATTCCTGTTCTTCAATATTCAACCGTTTCTGAACGTCATAATTGGACCTTATTTGACTTACGGCTTCATTGTAAAGCACATTCTGCGTTAACTACAGCAACGAGCGTCTACACCTGCAAATGGTTGGAGGGGATGTTTATCAAAGGGACACAAGATATACCTGTTGATACCCGACGAACCGCATTCTTTCATGACACATTTCTGGCATCGGGGAAATGTGAATGTATTGAGCGTCGCTAAGAAAATATTTGTTTCCTGGCCGCCTGACATCATGAGGGTTATGAAAATAATGGCAGGAAAGAAAAAAAGGCTTGTGCTTGGCTGAGATCATGAGAACATGGTTTAGGCTTCTTAATGTGTGGGTAGAGGAAGCAACACCTTTTTTATTTGCATATTGAAGAAGAGAGTTATGACACATGTTTGCGATGATTAAGGTTAGGCTATTTTAGTATGGAGGCGTTGTGTGCAGGAATAATTGTGTTCTTAAGTGCATAAAAAAGCTATAGAAATTTAGTAATGTGTTAAAATGCAATGGAATAAAAACAGCAGGAATAAATTTAACAATTTAAGAATGGGTTTAAAAAGGAGAAGGTATGCACGGATGATAATTACTAAAACAAAGTTAATAGTTACAGAAAGAAATGGACACAAAAACATGAATTTAGCAGCTGCACAATTGGACTTAGACATTCAACTATGTCTTTATTTTTGTTTTTTGCAGCTTCCTTTCTCTGTTTCATGAAGATACTTTAAGCTTCAATTACAGTGACACCTGATACAAAAAACCCATGTTCAGTCAGAATTGAACAATTCTCATGACACAAAAGAAACCAACTATCATACCGGAGTATCATACGTTCATTGAGTTCGTGTTAAAAAGTTACTGTGTCATTGTTACGACTATTTCCAGAGTGGGTCAAAGGCTGATTGTAAGGTGAGAGTATCCTGCCCTGAAGCGCTGTCATTATATAGTACAATCTAGGTTGTGTTTGATTTGCATATAGAAGAGTATGTTTATCATGGAAACGCCAGCAGAGTCACCGCAGTGGCATCCAAAGAAAAACAGACCGGGGTGAATAGCAGCATCAGCGCCCAGCTTGTATGTACTGGTAGTCAAAAAGCAGAGAAAGCGAATCGAGGGTGTACTGCAGTGTCATGACTGAATGCTGTTTTGCGGCATTTTCTACATCAAACAGTGAAAGAAAACAAACAAATAATGGTTGCTTATTTTTCCCCAAAGGGCAAAGGATGGTAGAAAAATGTGCTGAGGATTTGAGGGGACAAATGTGAGCTTTTCCATTAGCACCTGCACAGCTCTACTCAATTTTTAGGTTTTTCCATGGGAGGTACCAAGTACTTTTAGAACCTACTCAGCCAGGGTCACAAGCAAGCTGAGTCAAGCCAAAACAGTGGCGTCAACAGCCTACAGGCCACGATTTGGCCACGGATTGATGTCATAGGATGAGTCATGAGAGGGCCTCCTTCTCAAGAATCAATACCACCGATTTTTAAAACCCAGCAAAAAGCCATAGACTGAACAGCAGGTATACCATCGCCTTGATGTCCTCTATTACTGTATTGTGTTGTGTTTGTGTTTTGTTTGTGTTGTGTTTGTGTTGCGTACAAATGCCGTCAAATGCCATCGCCTTGATGTCCTCTATTACTATATTGTGTTGTGTTTGTGTTTTGTTTGTGTTGTGTTTGTGTTGCGTACAAATGCCGTCAAATGCCTCGCTATGACAGCTCCACCCATATTGAATGGTGCTCAACTGTAATGGAAAATGACCGAGTAGAGTCCAGCAGATTTGGCAAGTTTGGCTTCCAGTAACTTGTAATGGTTTTCTACATGTAACTGATTATTACATTATTGTACTATATATCACAGTGCAGCACGATGCAACAGCCAAGGCAGGATAAGATAAGACAGGATGGAATATGTCATGATATGATACAACACCATATAAGGTGATCTGATAAGACATGCATGTCACAATATGACACAGTATTAAAAGATATGATATATCAGTACATTGAAATACAATTTTTACACAATGAGATACAACATTGTGCATTACAACATTAAACTTCACAATACAATGAGAATGATGGCAGACAATAGGGTAGGACAGGACACGTCATGATATGACATCGTATGATACAATATGATAAAAACAATATGATACTACACCTTTTGATACATTATGGTATTTAACATAAGAGTATCTTATGATACAATAGTCTAAGAAAGGATGGGATAGGGTGGCTGGGTGATATGTCACGATATCATACAACATGACATGGTATGATACAACAGGACACAATATGCAATATGATACAATGCGATACAATATGATATGATATGATAGGAGATGATATGATACACTGCAGTATGATATTATACATTACAATGAAACACAATACAACAGCCAACAGGGTATATGTCATGATATGGCATAATATGATACAATGGGATACAAACAATGTGATACGACCCTATATTATACATTATGGTTTATGTTATGATACAACAGCCTTGGACAGGATGGGATCTGTCATGATATGATACAATACCTTACAATACAATGCAAAACAATTTGACATGATAATGCAATATGATACGACGCAGTAAAATACAGTCTGCAGCAGAAACACAAACTGACATGTTACCATTATTTGAGCTAACAAATTAGCTCTGTTTGTGCTCTTTGTCAGCCTTGGAGCTAAAAAACTGACTCCTTAGCTTCTGAAAGGTCATCCATGTTCACCTGTTTGTCACGAACTTTGTGTCATGATTAGCTTTAAGATGACGCTAACAGGAGTGGTGAATAATCCAGGACAGCAAAGGCTGAAGTATTTCAAAGATTCAAAATGAACCTGAAGATACTGGTTTCTTCTGTCTGGAGAGAAATGTAAAGTTATCTGTGGTCCGTCCTTGTAAGTGGGATTTCCACAGAGGTCAAAAACAGCATAGTGATATAGCGATTAAGGAATAAATGAGGCAGTGTTAAAGTCACACTTCACTGGAATATTTTGTCCCGAACCAAAGTGCCATTATCATAGTTTTTAAATGACCACAATTACCATCAGTTTGATTATAGATAATAATATATCACACAGAGTTATCCACCTTCTTATATCACGTCAATGGCCCAATAAAAATTCTACAAAGGGGAGGCGCAGCTTTAACACTGAGAGGAACGATTTCCTCCTGAAGGTGAAGGACATATCCAGCAAGAAAACTGAGATCGTAACAGTATTATTAGAGGGGTACTTCTCATTTTTCCTTATTATTCAAAAAGACAGGAGGAGTTTTCTTTTCAGAGCAAGAATAACATAAAGTCTCATATATTTCTGCTTTAAGACAGACTGCTACCTGAATGTCACAAGGCCTTATGAAATCATGCCGTTACATTATCTAATGTGAATTTAAAGCTCCTGTGAGGATGTTTTAGTTAGTGATCAAAAAATTGAAATAATGTTGCAGGAATGATAACTTTTAAAGGGATATTCCAGTGTAAAATTAGGTTAGGGTCAACACACCGTAACACCAAGTTAGACACCCCCCCCCGAGAGATGAATGTTGCTGTCTGCTTGCTTCTCTAGTTGTACCAACTTTAGTAACGACCACACGATAGCAATACAAAGCAGTCTCAAGAGCCATAAACATACCTCAACCAAAACACCACTCTATAGCCACAAATAATGCTCAGAACAGCAGCTAACTTCATCAACAGTACATATAGGGTCCCAGCCATAGTACTCGCCACCAAACATCTTTTTAACTTTACCGTTTTTTTTTAGCCAAGAGACTGAACACAACTCACCTACTCTCTTCCAGCAGCCGCTCGGGCCAGTCCATTACAGACTGCTGTGGGGTGACTCAGCTCAAGGAAGAACATTTATGATCATTACTTTATCATTTCCATGAAGTAATAATAATCATATTAATCATTTTGCATTGCAGATACGGTAGTTCTTCTGCCTTAGTGTCTTAGTCTGATTGCATTTCCATGACGAAATGATCATAAATGTTCTTCCTTGAGCTGCGAAACTCTGCTGCAGTCCTTAATGGAGTTCTCGCTACAAACAAGCGGCTGCTGGAAGAGAGTAGGTGAGTTGTGTTTAGTCTCTTAGCTGAGGAAATTAGGCAAAGTTAAAAAGATGTTTGGTGGCTAGTGCTGTGGCTGGGACCCTATATGTACTGTTGATGAAGTTAGGTGCTGTTCTGAGCATTATTTGTGGCTATAGAGTGGCGTTTTGGTTGAGGTATGTTTATGGCTCCTGAGACCACTGTGTATTGCTATTGTGCGGCCGTTACTAAAGTTGGTGTAACTACAGAAGCAAGCGGTCGGCAAAATTCATCTCTCAAGGGGGTGTCTAACTCAGTGTTACAGTGTGTTTGACCCTAACTTAATTTTACGCCGGAATATCCCTTTAATATGTAAATACAGTTTGTAAACTTTGGCCTGCACCTTTAAATGCAGAGTTGCTAATAAGAAAGACATGCTCATTAATAAAAAGCCCGTCAGTTGTAGATTTGTTGTTAGGGTTTGTATTAATCATGTGTGTCTTGTGTATTCCTAAGAGTGCATGGGGCTCAAGTACAAATCAACACACTGCATGCGTTTAGTCACGTAATGATGAGTGTTACAAGAACTTCGCTTTGCCTGTATTTAAGTCTAACCCTACATTGCAAATGTAATTTTCTTGGGCCAATACGTGCCAATGAGGCTGAAGAGGTTATTGAGTTTAGCTGCTCCCAACCTCTTTATCATAAGTCAACACAAAAGCAAGGAGACAAGTTAATGACAGGTGTAATAAAAAAAAACTGCACCGGCTTAATTTGCATAAGTGTTGTCTGGCAACCAAATGTGATCAAGGAGGCCCAAAAGATCTGCACATACCAGAAGAAACAATAGATAATGAGTAATCAGTAGAATCTTGTTTTATAAGAGCTTAAAAGAGGAAATACCTCTTGTTTCGAGTGTGCGTTTGAGAGGTTAGCTTGTTAAAATGTAAATGCTTTCATTTTGATATAAAACAGATTTTATGTCTTGTAGGAGCGCGCTCTGAACCCTCATTCAAAGGGGGAAAAAAAGGGAAACAAGAGGTTCATGCTGCTTTGCATGTAATCTTACTTGCAGAAAGTTTGAATTTCTTACACTGGGTTTTCTAATTTCTTCATTTCTCTCAGGTGTCTACCCCAGAGTGTGTTCCCGAGTATGCTAATGCGACATGAATTAGATACTCTGCACCTTTGGGCAATCATTGTGGCTTCTCTCTGCCTCGGTGCGTTCCTAAGAAATAAGATACAGAATTAATCTTCCCTAATAAGAGAGTGTTTGCAGGGAGCAATTGCATTTGGTGAAATCATTTTAGTTCTAAAACTGGATTAAGCCCGTGTTTCTAAAATCTTTTTTATTTGCTCTCCCTGCACCAGGAGACAACAAGCTCAGGAATGTGTCTACTATTGCGGAGATGCTTGAGTATGTGGATGTGGTTACAGCCATGCCTGTATGTAAACAAGGGCGGATTTCTTTGTCTGCAGAACCCTTTTATTTAGTGATTTATTGTTTTAAAGTTATACAACCTCCAACTCCAACAAAGTTGAGTAAAAAGTGCATAAAAACAGAGTACAATGATTCACAGATCCTTTTCCAACTATATTTGATTGAATTCACTACAGAGGCGAATATTTCAATCAATCAATCAGTCAGTCTTTATTTGTGTAACACTTTTCATACAAAACAATGTAGCACAAAAGGCTTTACACAGAAGAATACAAGAAACAAAGAATACCTGACTCTACTCCACCCCATCCCCACCCTGCAATCCAAGCGCAAGAGAAACGAGTTTTAAAATGCCTTAAGTTGAAAAGAGATCGATTTAGTAAAAACAGGATTGTGCGCACTGAAGAAACACCGTCTTAAAATTCAAGATGAGGAAACACTGGAGGTTAGGTTAAAACCTAAAGACAAAGTAACATCAAAGTAAATTAAAGAAATAAACAAAATGAAATAAAAATACATATGTAAAAGATACTAAAAGAAGAGCACCAAAATAGCTCAATAAAAGACGATCCTGACATTAGAACTAGAAAGGGATAAATGCTGAAACACTCCAATGAAATTAATTCCGGAAAATGTTCTAAATTGGCAACTGGACTTCTTGGGTTATCCTGAAGATGTTTAACCTCTTCTCCAAAAGGCCTCTTCAGTTCTAAGGGGGACTGGGTGTAGAGCTGGAATATATAGACCCAGCCCCCCTTAGATCTGAAGACGCCTCTTGGAGAAGAGGCAAAGCGTCTTCAAGATAACCCAAGAAGAATTCCCGAAATACCATGACCTGGATGAATGAGAACCTTTGTAGACATCAAATGAAATAAAGTTAATAATATAAACTGTAGTTAAAAGCAAGACTCAAAAGGTATGTCTTGAATTTAATGTCTAAACTGATAAACTTTATTGTTTCCTGCAAATATTCACTCAAAAAGTTGGGACAGGGTCAACAAAAGTCTGGGAAAATTGAGGACTGCCTCTAAAACACCTGTTAGGATTATTCCACAGGTGATCAGGTTCATTGGGTGTAAAAGGAGTGTCCCTGAAAGGCTCAGTCTTTCACCAGCAAGGACGGGGCCAGGTTCACTACTTTGTGAGCAACTGCATGAGTAAATAATTCAACAGTTAATGAATGTTTCTAAACTTACAATTGAGGTTTTGTAAAACCACGCCCCCAAACTAACACTGTCCATTCACACAGCCTAGCAACCGTTACTACGTAAGAGTTTGGCTAGGGGAGTCATTTTCTTTTCCTTTCCAAAGCCGAAAACACAGAAGGAGCATTGCCTACAGTGGATAAAACAGGAATTTAGTGAGTTCAGAGACCCAAGACCCCCTTCAACCCCTCATTAGAGATCCACAACACTCTGTAAAGGATATAACCATGTGGGCTCAGGAACACTTTAGAAAACCCTCATCAGTCAACAAAGTTTGTCTCTACATCTACAAGTGCGAGTTCAAAACTCTACCATGCAAAGCCAAAGTCAGATATCAACAACGGCCAAAAATGCCGCCAAGTTCATCCGAGATGGACTAATGCGAAGTGGGAAAGTGTGCTTCGGTTGGGTGGGTCCACATGCTGCCATCCAAGACAGATCCTTCCCAGGGACGTCCTGCTTATTTTAGCTGAGACACACTCTGCACGTGTTCCAACAGCTCGCCTGGCCTGCTATCAGTTTGAACATTAATCATCTTGTCTTTGTTGTGAATTTAATTGAATATTGGTGTAAAAGGATTTGCAATTCATTGTATTCTGCTTTTATTCACACAACATCCAAACTTCATTGTAATTTGAATTAGCGATGAAACTGCGCTCGAGGAATACGTGTCAGTGATCTTCAGATAAACACAAACGTTAACATTTATGCAAATTTCTTTTTACCAGGTAACCCATATTATAAAACGTTTTCCCTTTACACACCTGTCTGTGTGAAGGTGTGCCAAAATCCTTTTCTGTAAATGACAGAGACGCTCCCTATCACGTTGCTCTTTCCTTTAAAGTTATTTTTAATGACCCAGTTTTTTCAGAGGATGTTTTCTCTTTGCAGCACACACATTTTTCATTTCCTTTAGTCATACATAGAACATACTGTACATAATTGTAGATGCATACCATACAATTGTAGTCCTGAGTACACGTGAAGTGACACATGATAAGGTCCCGCGCATCATCCTTGTCTGTCTGGTATACGTGGACTGATGCTGATGGTATATTAATCACTTCAGAGCTATAACACCCACATGCTTAAATAATAACTCCCCCGCTCTGTGTTGCAGGCCAGTGGAAGCAGTGCTGCGATCACCTCATGAAGATTGAGACGCCCAGATCGAGGAAAGCCATTACAGTGAGGCAGGGATCGCTATACCATGAAATAGGTAGGCAGAGTTCACTCGAGACCTTATCGAGACCTGCTGGTTCACTTCCACTCACCTACTCTACATCACTGCTCATCATTCTGCAAGAAATGGTTCTGTTTTCATCCTGAATATACTTCATTTTCTGCCAGTTCACATCTGTTTATGTTTTTCATTTCTCTCTGTAAGCATTAAAATTGACCAGCAGACTCTCCGATCTTTCTGCATTTGTGTGATACATAACAGGGGACAGCGAGTCTGTTTTTATTAACGTCAAACCTGCGTTTGACAGAATGTAATACACAGACCAGACTTTCCAGCTCCAACTGCACTTAGGCTGCAAAACTGACAAATTTAAGCTATAATGGTTTATTTACTCAACCACAAAGGAGGCACAAAAATGAGCTTCTAAACCTGATGTATTGTCAAGATTAAATTCGCTGTTTAATTCAGTGTACCGTACTCTTTGTGAAAGTTACAAAGCCCCAACATCAAGATGAGATAAGACTGAGTCCCATCCTGAAAAACCAGATCCACTCTGATCCATGCTTTTCACACATGAGTAATTTATGCTGCGTTCCAGTGACCTCAAAAGTCAGATGTCAGAGCTGGGAATGGCGTTACACCCAAGTAGATGGCATTCCAGTAAACAAGTCAGAAAACCAAGATGGACGCCTACAGTTAGCCATTGTTAGCTGTTGTTTACAATTGTCAGCTGTTGTTAGTCATTGTCAGCTGTTGTTAGTTGTTGTTAGTGATGCCAGTTGTAAACAACGCATAACACAGTATTTTACTCTTACAAACGCCGTGGCACTGTGTTCACAGTTAGACGTTGGTCAGTACAACACACACAACTTATTTAATTTCACAAAAACAGAACAGAAGTGCTAATAAATAATACATTGCGAGAGCTTTCACTGTTACTCTTTACTGTTGATGTACTGTGCTGCCATCTGGGATTATGACAATGTCGTCAAGTCGGGGTTGGTGAAACAGCAACCCCAGTGGGGCATTCCAGATGAATTTCCGACTCGGAGCTCGTAAATCCCGACTCCCAAGTACAACTTGGACGCAGCATTTGTAAGTTAGAGCAGAGAGGAAAAACTTCCTTTAACAGGCAGAAACCTCGAGCAGGACCAAACTCATCTGCCGAGACTGAGCTGGGATAAGAGAGCGTCTAAATGAAAAATTGAAACAGAAATAAAAAGTTCTACCATTCAAATTTGCTTTGTAATTGTGATAAAAAAGAAGAGACTGATGCATATCATTGAGGCAGCTTGAAAGAAGGCAGGTCTTTAGCAGCAGAATGTCTGCAGAGGAACCTACAAGATGAGGGAGAAAAGACTGTATTTGTGATTTTAATGTGGCATGGAATTCACTCTAAAACAGTCAGTCTTCTAACGGCTACAGCTCTCTGTCTGCTGTGTGGGGAAACACAACCGTATTCACAACAGCCTCAAATTTCAGACAATACCTGCCTATTTTCACTTTCAATCCATTAAACACTTTTACAGTCTATTAACAGTTTTAATTCCAAAACCAGCCTCCTTTAATCTCCATTTGAGATCCGGCTCTTTTATGCACTTCCTGGTTGGCTTCATTTTTTACCCCTGCACACAACAGATGCAAGATCGAAAGCAGAATTGAACTCAAACTGCAAACACATTACTTGATTGTTCAAATGGTCACGCTCTAATTTCACTTAAACATCTGATCTTCCATGCCAGGAATTCCCACAATATAATGAAAGGTCAAATGTAAGGCCTCATTGGCAGGTTTTGTATCTGTCTGTAAAAAAGCCACGGTGACACTGACCTGAAAGTAGTCCGACGGGTTTGTGTAAATAGAAAGATGATAAAAAGAAAAATAATGCGGCCCAACAATGGCACGGGGCGACAAGCCAGACTGTTGACGTGAATAGGCGCATTGTCTCCCAACACCTGCTGACAAACACATCAGTCATGCTGATCTAAAAGTGTACAGATATGCTCCACGGAGGCCACCGGTGGGATCAAACATGTTCAGGTCTAAAATGTGGGTGTGACACCTGAATCACATTATGTTGGTTTTCAAAGAACATTCCGGTCGTAAAAACAGACCTCAGGAGGAAGAGAGCACAGAATAATAATACCAACAAGGAAATGGGAACGTTTTTATGAAAACCCCACCATCAGTCACGAATCCACTCAGGGGAAAAGCTCCTCCGTCAGAAGATAATATCTGAGATATTTCACTATCTTTAAAGCAACTCCTCTTCCTGTTTCTCCTTTTTTAGTCACCCCCTCCTCTCCCGGAGATGGTTGTGCGGTTCCAGATCTATCAGCGGAGATCCGCACTTTGCTCTATTCCTACTACAAGGAAAGGTAGGCTTCCTCCAACTCGACTGTTCAATTTTCTTTTACCTCTGCATTGATCTATTTCTGCAAATCCAAAGACTGAGACTTTGAGGAGAAACTCTCATTCATGTTGCTGCCATGACACAGACAAGAAAATAAAAGATGACACATCAGGAATAAAGAGCAATTAAAAAAAATACATACTGTAATTGGAAATAATGTGAAGTTTGATGACAACAAGTTAAAAAATAAATGGAAAGTAAGAGTGATTTAATGATTAAAGCTAAAGCAAATAACTGAGCATAAAGTATTTCACTCATTCTCTTCGAAAGAGCCTGTGGCCTAGTTTGTATGAAAGGGATTATTGGTGTCAATATGATATTATAATATAGTATAATAGTATTATATTCATGAGTATATTTAAATAAAGGTATAATCATTTAAAGCTCCTGTGAGGAACTTTTGGTTTGAGAACATTTGGCACCCCCTGTGGACAAAGTAGTCTTTGCCCATTTTGTTATCTGCATAATTGAAACGTTTCTTCATCCTGCTGACTTTTTAGGGTCAGGTGTGTTGTATATTGTGAATAACTTACATGGTAAATGTATAAACAGGATAGTCTCCTCAGCTACTACGCTGACACCTACCCCCTCATCATCGAAAATTACAGAATAGAGATGGAAATCTTTATACTGTAAAGTCCCTGATGGTCTTGTTTGCTTTTACATACAATAAAAAGGCATCAGTCTGAATTCAGTCAGTTTCATTACTGTCAAAAATCTTCTCACAGGAGCTTTAAGTATTAGAAAGTTTGGTTCGTAAGAAGCGGGTCCCCCTGCATAGAGGAGGACCCGCTATCCTTCACGTCCATGTTTCTACGGTAGCACAGAGCAGACAAACTTGTGGCCTTTGCATTTTTTTTTTCTAATTGTAGAGTGGCCATTAGAAATGTAAGACATTGTAACATCTGAGATAACCCTGATTTACACACCTGAGTTGTGGAGGCTAGACCAGGCGTAAGGAGAAGGCCTACAGAAGTGGGGATAATGATGTTTTTCACAACCACTCTTCACTTTACTGCACTCTTCATCAAACTACTATCTTATGTATACAGTATAAACATAGATTTTGCTGAAAAATTACTGTAACAGTGTGGTAAATTATGTAAACAGGCGAAATTTGAAAATTTGAAGTGGTTTACATTTGATTGGCTGAACAGCATGGAGGGTATTTTCAGTGAGACTGGTGACATTCGTCTTATTTCTTAAGGTTGAGTCATCTGGAAACTCCCTAAAAAACTAGAGCCAAACGAGGACAGCAGCATAAATGCAAATCGTTTTCCAGAAGTTCACCTCGTCTAACTTTACCGCAAATGAGAAGGAACAAGAATAAATAGGGTGGCTTGTTGTGATAGCGCTTTATGTATCAATTGCTCAGTGCTCTGCTAATACTCACAGTAGAAGACAAAATACACTTGTTGTGACAGTGCGACATGACCTGCTTTGTTACTGGAAGCAGTACAGCATGGTACTGACTCTAAGGTATGAAAATTAGCACCAGCTTCTGAACACAATGAACAAAAATGTGTCTGGATTTGACCTCTCTGCAATAACAATGAGCACTGTGTAAAGGAACAAACTTAAGCATACTTCAGATAAACATGTTTACTTTTACAACGCATTTCTGACAGCGATAGGCTAAATGTCAACAAAGGCAAAGGATATGCAGAAAGTGAAGTCCTGTTGAGATTTAAGACCCGATAAATCTTTAAGTGTTGTGACGTGAACATACAGTTAGAGTAGCACATTAGCTGTCGCAGTAAAGCAACAACGCGAGTATGACTGAAAATTTTAATTGTGTTAAATCAGCATTTAAATCATCAACATTGACAACCACAAAAGATACAAAATTAGGCTGAGTTTCACAGCTTTAGCAGTTGCAATAATATGCATGAACCCGTAAGAGAAAGCTGCTCAAAAACTAGCAGTAAGATTTAGATTAGAATTGCGGTAAAAAAAACACTATTAGGCTGTATTGGGACAGAGGAAAAAGTGCCTAGAAAGTGAATCTCGTGCCACTTCAGTGGGGCAACATAAACTGTGATTCATAAAATAGCTCTACTGATAGTAAGTATAAAAAAAATATCTACTCATGCCATCCTGTCGATTTTTAGTAATCAGTGTCTCGGTGTCGAACTATTTCCTTTCTGCGGCGTAGTGATACTTGCACACGCGCAATCGAATATGCAGAGGAGTGAAGCGATTTTTGTCACGTGAACCAATAGGAGCCGAGTCTCGTTGCCGTAGTATCAGAAATACACAAACATGGCGGCGGATGCATCTAGCAGCGAGACAAGCGAAGAGGAAGAAAAGAAAAGGAAAAATAGAAAAAAAAACAGCCTTCAAAAGTGCATAAAAAATGAATGAAACAATGCTATATGCATCTATCATCTGTCCGGAGTGAAGATGTTCTCGACTATACAAGGACACGTTGGGAAACTTACAGAACTAGTATTAAAAAGTGGCTTTCTCTACAGGATGAGACAAAGGACCTTGCAGAAACTTATAAACATTGCGTTGATATTGACTTTGACAATGTTCCTGACTACGCTGGGTTTCACATGACATGCTACCAGCGATTTATTTGCAAAAGGCGTTTGAGAAACAATATCTTGTTGATTCTGGCAAGAAAAAATCTTTCTCAAATGTCATAAATCCATCTACCTAACACCTGAAACAGTTATTGGTGCCTTAGTATACGCATAAGTGAATTCAGATTAGGAAATGTAGCAAATTTCTTGAAGAAAACGTCTCAACTCAAGTGATTTGTACCCAGCACAATGAAATATATACAGTAAATTTAGCTAAAAGCTTTTGTTTCATACATAAAAATGACACAACTTACTGTGTAATAAAAGCAATAAAATATAAACAGCACATCATGGCCATAAATGGCTGAAAGTCAATCAAATTGCTACCACACCCCCCAAAATTGGAATAATGGAAAAAATGTAACAAGACAAAAATAAATACAGTGTCAAAACATCTGACATTTATCAATCCCTTCAGAATATGAAAATAAAGATCAAAACAAACGCAGACAAATGTAGAACAGATATAAAAATAATAAAAAATCTCAAATCTGGGTGTAGCAATCCTTTAAACAAAACAAATTGTACATGGTGACATGGTGCGTATATTACGGATCACTATCACTTTCATCAGAGTCATCATCCCATACAGCTCTTTCTTCTGTTTCCTCTGAAGCATTCTCACATGCTTGGCACCGACATAAATCTGTACAAGATAGTCTTGAAATTTGGAACTTTTACGTTGACTGAACAGCTGGCTTAGATAAAGCAGCCCCGCCTTTGTATGATAACACTACCTGCATGCAGTGATTCAGCAAATTGTAGTAATATTTTTAAATGTGTGGCCTACTTAGACACACTTCGAACCCAGTTACTATCTTATATGTTTGGATTCCATCATTCTAAGCTAACTCAGGAGAAATTAAAATGGGTTTTCCTTTCAGTTCCTAACAAGTTTAGCTGAATAATCGAATAAAGCCATCTCTTTCTTGAAGATATAATGCCACCCGACCATTAAAATGATTGATTCTGGGGTCGGTTCAGAGAAACTGGCTGTGCCTGAAATCTCCCACAGTCGCAGATAAAGAAAAATGAAATGATCTATGTGTAATAGAATGATGAAAACGGCTGTTTAAGCTCCTGTGAGGAACTTTTGGCTTATCTGTCATTGCTCTTTAAGGTGTAATCCACCGCTTGTACATTTCTTTGCATACTGCATAAGGATTCACTGTGTAAGGTATGACAGGTATAAAAATGTTCACTTTATACATAGTGTAACCATACGTCCTCTTTTACCCAGACATGTCCTCTTTTTTGGGGGCTGTCCGGCCTTGTCTGGCTTTGTCCAGGGAGTTTATATATTCTTTCAAATGTCCAGGGTTTGTATAGAAGTTTTGAGTTTGTGTTGCATGGACTTTCTGAGTTGGAAGTGCATGAAAAACACTTGATACGACCCGCAAAGCACTCAAAATTAACCACACGCAACTCTGTGACTCCGCCCCCGCATAGTCATGTCTTCTATTTGGGGATTAGGAATATGGTCACCCTACTTACACAGCAATACAAAATGTCAAATTTTCTTTATAGTTCATATAGATATAGATATATAGAATAGAAGTGTATGTTAGCCACTGATTGATAAACTCTTCTTTGTGATTTACTTAGAGATATCACATCATTAATACTGCAGGATTACTGTAGGAGGATTGTTTTCCTATTGTGGAGCTTCACAGCTAATTAAGCATACAAGCTTTCAAGTGTAAGTTATTATTACAATATCAGAGTTAAATTTCTGGTTTGGTAAGCTAAGTAGGGTTATTAGTCATGGAAAAAGAATGATACAAAACATCCTACTGTCACATGGTCCTACTGCGGTCAGTGGTGACGTGACTGAACAGGCGACATACGAACACCCTCTAAATGAAACACATAATGGTTCCTTACATTGAACGCTAAGTTTTTTTGACTTCTGAGAATGACAAATACTCAATGTTACAAGTTTAAGTCCACGCACAATGCAGCAGGATCATGATTTGTGTACCGAGTAAGGCCTTGGTTCAGACAAAAAGGCGACAGGGAACAGGTTCGACCAAAGACTTTGATAAATGTGAAACTTGGAGCAGTTTTCACAGTGCTGGCATTGTGTAACTTTGAATGCTTTACATGTGAATAACTTTGTTTCCAGTATCCAAGTCATGAGTCAGACCATTTTAAGGGTTGTGTGAACAACCATGTATGAAGCTATGAGGAATGACATGCCTCACCATTACAACAAAATGTTAGTGTGACTGATTTCCTCACATCTTTCATCACATTTATTTAAATCAAAGAAAGATCTTGGCATCATTATTTAAGTGTGGAGGGTGTAATTGTCCTTTAGACAAATAATAAAGAGCAAGAATGATGTTTTCCAGCCCAGAAAGCCACAGAAACCTTTTAAAGGCTCCTGAAGTCCAGTTTGTTTGACTAGTGTGAGTGCTGAGTACCTCACCCTGGCATGGAAAACCACCTAGGGCCCAGGCAAGTTTAGAGGAGGATGCCAGGGCGTCTCATTTGGCACCCAATCACAGGTTTTTATACTTTCACCGAAATGCCACAAGTCATATCCTCACTGGTGCAGAGAAAAGGAGGACCAGGAAACTGTAAGCTGATTTAAATAGACTAAGAGAAAGAAGAGTAAGTAGCTGAAGTAGTAGATGAAAACAAGGTCAGCGTTTGATCAGTCGGATTTCCTGTTGGTGTGAAGAGCTGTAGCCTACAGTATATCTACAGTATATAGTATACTGTATATATCTACAGTACGTACATATATGTATATATAAATATATATATATATATATATATATATATATATATATAGATATATATCAGTGGCCATTGCTTTAAGACTGCAAGGGAAACTCAGCTTCCCTTAAAATGTCACCCCCCCAAAAAAAGAAAAAGTGGTGAAATACGTACTGCTGTGTGTGTTTATTTCATTACCTAAATACGCGCTAGAAAGCCTTCATCTTTTGTTCAGATAATCACAGGTAACCGGCACAACTTCGTTCTCATTCATCCTCGCAGCGCCTCAGCGCTTCACACAGCCAGACGCTCAGCTTCTGCTGACTTCAATGTGGAAGCTCAGAGTGGGTTGTTCCAGCAGCGAAACTAGACGCTCATTGGATAAATGCTGGGCTTTGTCCCGCCCATCGGACGCTGAGCTTCTCTGGAGTTCTATGGCGAGAGGGCGGTCCCAACTTTCTTGCGGACGCTGAGCTTCTGCATCCATGATTGGATGAGCTGTCTGAGGCGAAATCCTTTTTTGATTGACAGCTAAACAAGCGAATCAGCGATCTTGAAGAATAAAACATCTACCAAAGCATTTTCCAAGTTATTCATTCTGTTGTTCTTAACTGCTCCGGAGACTTAACCGATCCTCAGCGACTTTTGTCTGTGTTAAAACGACTGCCGTTGTGTTTGGCGACTCTGTTCTGTTACATAGTAATAAACAAACACAATTATGATGTAGGCCAGAAAAATGAGCTTCCCCTCCTTGAAAGACCAGCAGTCGCCACTGATTTTCCCCCCTAATAATCCGTATCGGCATCAGCCCCCAAAAAATCCTTATCGGTCGGGCCCTATTAAAATAGTGACTACCTTACTGGCAGGAGGAGAGAAAGTAATCATTAGAGGGAGCATAAATGTTAAGTTTAGAGGAATAAACACCACAATAAATTCTAGTAGGACCAGGGAAAACTCATCATACTGCGCCAGCTTCATAGATGGAGGTAAACATTGAGAAACCATTGCTAACCAGTATGAAAAAAAGTGTAAAAAAAATGTGATGAAAGGGTAAAATGAAAGGATTATTGGTTTGAACCTTGGACAGGAGTTCATCTCTGATGACAGCTTTTCATCCACTCAGGCTCTCTTGGTTACCTTTATAATAAAAACATATATTTACCAGTTTCAAGTGCAAATTCCAAGGTAATAAATGGTGAAAAGCTGATTAAATTCGCCTCTCTTACTCAGCAATCACCAGTTTCTTTTAGGAAAAAAATGCTCTCCATTGCGACTCTCAGCTGACACAACACGTGTCTAAAAACTGCTATGACTGCGATATGAATAGCAAATTATTGAGTTAAAAAAACCATTTGGTGACTAATTTAAGGGATATTATAACATGATGAGGCTTCCTCCTCTGAGCTGACCTCAAAGCTGCTCATCAGGTGTCACTGATGTGTCACAAAGACACACCAGCATCAACAAAACATGATCAGACACACCCACAGATTAGATCTCAGTTTGATTGTAGTTATTATTAGTTTTTACACTGATGCTGATTGGTGCTCAATGAGGGTCTGAAATTAAATATTATGTATGTAATTTTAAAATGTCAGGCCACATTTGTAGAGGTTTTAAAATGTGTCTTCAAATGATGATTCCTAACTTGGTTTATATCCTACGTGCATTAATTTTGTGAATGTGCAAAACAGAAAAATGGGTTTCCTCATACCTGGAGGTGAGTGCATTCTGCCAGTAAAGCAGTGCACTCTTATCCATGCCACAGTGATTTTGCATTAAAACAAAACAAGTTATGTGTGTTTCTGAGAAAGTAAATCCCCCACATCCTCATACCAACAGATACAGAGATAGGAAAAAAAAAAAAGGTTGGCAGCCTCACAGCTCAGGCTGCGGTTTTGCTGGAGACCAACCTGACTGGCTTCAACTGTCAGAAAGGAGTGATCTGATCCGTGTCTACAGACAGGAATGTTTGTTGCGGTGTGTTTGTCATAAAGACGCTGTTTTATTTGGATATATGTATTGCAGGTAGCTGTGCATTGACATATGGGTTTACTAAACAGATATAGGCAGGAAGTGATAAAGGAAGTTTTATTCGATGCAGCAAAAGTTTTGTTTGTTTGTCTTGTATTTGCACTAACTTTTCTTTCTTTCTACCTGTTTCTTTTAACAGTTATTGATGACGCTGCTGCATTTTCTCTGGAGGGATGAGGAATGGGCCTTATTCTGTGGGTTTTTTGGTGAACACGCCTGGTTGAGAAGTGGACACGGACATGATAAATGGTGTGATGTAACAATCTGCAAAGGATGAATTCACGCTTAAAGTTAATATCCACCTTTTTTTATCCATGCAGACAGAACCAGCAAACTCCCAATGTGCAGATTCAGTCCAGAGCAGCAAACAGCTCGGGTGCTGATTGTTAAGTTGCACACTGTAACAATGACATTAACAGGTTTGCATATGTAACTTTAAATGTTTCCAATCTAGTGTTAATTTTAGAATAATATTTGCATTTGTTGTTACATTAATTTTGTGTAATTAAACTGCTATCCCAAGATGCTTTAAAGAAAAGCGGGTCTAGACTCTATTTGCAAAGACCCAAGAGGAAGAGAGGGAGAACTTTAGTTAATAGGCAGAAACCCTGAGCAGAATCAGACTTATGTTAGCTAGTCCTCTGCTGAGACTCAGCTGGGTTTAGAAAGCAAGCAGTCATCATGATCCAAAGGTAACAATACAGACAGATAGAGGGTGCTAAATCTAAATGCTCAGTATAGATATAGCAACTGCTTTCCTTTGAATGGAAATTTGAATGAACAGTCCAGTTTGAGTGTTAAAAAATGATTTATTGTTCAAAAAAGAAAAGAAAACATGCTGATCCAGGTCCAAAACTTTTCCTTCAAGTGAAAAAAGTGATATGCTGAAATGAGGTTAAAACAGGATGAATGAAACGGTGAAAAATGATAAAAAACAATGAAAAATGGTCAACAGAAAATTATCAGAGTTTACCAAAAAAACATTTTCTGACTACACAGGTGACATTTAAATAACCCACGAAACATCCTAAAACCACACCCCTCAGTGACAATCCCCAGAAGTGATGTACCTAGAAATCATATCTGAAACAAATATATTTTGGCTCCTACAATAGACCTGAATGCAAAATTATAGAATTAAAGCTCCTGTGAGGAGTTTTTTGATGTATATGAAAATGACCAAAATTCATAGTGATGTCTTTTTATGCTATATGATGCAAAAAAAAAAAAAAAAAAAAAAGACAATCAATGACAAGATGAAATAATTTGTGTTGCAATTGCAAAATCTGAAACTGGTGCAAGAGGGTAGATGTCAGCAGAGCAGCTGAAGAAACAGCCATTTAATTTTTTTTTTTTTTGCAGTTTACACAAAATATTAAAGGGAATATAAAATCACTCACCTAGGCGTCAAAAGCCAGCAGAATCAGATTTCTATGTCATAAGGACGAGATAAGCTTTGTCTACAGGTGGCACTGAAACTGACACAGAGTTCTTTACAGGAGCTTTAAAGTTTTAAATCTGAATGTTTTCGGTTTTAAGTTCGAAACTACAGTGAGGAGGTTTTGATTGTGTAAGAAACCTTTAATTAAATTGTTTAGGATCACCATGACTTTGCAAAAAGCAACAAGAGTTGTTCAACTGGACTTGGTGGTTTTAAATATAAGCTTATATGCAAATTCAAACTGCGCATTAGTTGGACTATCAAAATAAAAGCTCGATAGAGCACAGATGCTGTGGTTTTCTCCTACTTAGAGGGAGAGCAGGTGTGGAGATTATTGCTTTTGTTTTTTTTGCCTGAAACTCCACAACTTCACGAACAGCATCCCAAGAGTTTTTTTTCCTAAAGTCAGACTGTTTAAAGTAAATAAAAACTAAGATTTATCCTGCAGCTTGTGTATTTGACATTGACGTGCAAACTCTTTTGTAAAAGACTTTTTAACTGTGTCTTATTTCTTTATGACTTATAACTCCACTAACCCATAAAGAAGTGTAAATATTCTGCACAACAGCATTCCTATAGATAGTGTGACTCATTTTTGAGTGTCATTTTAAACTTGAATTCAGCAGATGAGTTATATGTCAGTGTCTAATGATGAAAAAATATTTTCAGCCTCATAGAAATGTCAACCATTCATCATACATTCAAACTAAATACAGTCTTTGACTTTTCCAGCTATGCCAGATAATATTTGCAACATGCGGTAGCTCTTTGAAAGACCCGAGGTGTAAATAAAGGCCCGATGCTTGCTCTGAGTGCAGTTAATCCTTGTTGACTTGTGGAAATAAAATACGGCTGATATGTTTCTTCAAGCAGAGGAGTTTCTCACCATTATTTTTGTAGCTTTTTAAAACCGCAGTGACATGTGAGCTGTTATAAAAAGGCTGGTTAACAATCGAAGTAAAAAACACAGGAAAGAAGTGGAATTAGCTTGTAAGCCAGCAGCTTACGCAGTGAAGCATCTTCTTTTAATGGTTTGAAAGGCCTTTTAACTGGGAGTCATGTTCTGGACAAAAGACCATAATGGTAATCACAACACTTGTGATTTTAAGGAACAATTTGCACGTAATTATCGGAATCTAAAGTAACAACAACAGGGGTGTCACTTCTTCTTTTTAATGTTGGAGTCACACCCATGAATTCCAAACATGAGTCAGTGAATCTAAGAATAATTATTATTGTAGTAATTATCATGTAATAGCAGGCTGCACAAGGGATTCTTGGTGACGTAAAAAAAAAAAAAAGGTTTACAGCACATGACAGCTGTAAAGGTATCTGCTTTAACCCTCAAAGAAACTCTGGTGTTAGCTATATTTGTTTATAAAATGTTGCTGAAATCTATGTGGTACAACTTTGACTCTATATTTAGCAAAACTCCAAAAGTGATGTTTGAACCCTAACCCTAAAGACATGAAAATTCGGTGAATGCTACCGTACAGAACTCATTAAAAAAACAAAATTTAAAGCTTTGAATATACATATGCAAAGGAAGCTTTTGATATTGCATAATACAGCTCTTTACGTAACTTTAACAAAATTATCCCCTGAGCAGTTTTCATAGCGCAGAAACAATGGTAGGTACTGGTGGTTACAATGGCGTAGGCATTCCTGCAATAATTACCACACCTTCTCTTTATCATGCTTGAAAATACTGCTCAGGTGCGCGGCATACTGGATCGTTTCTCAGTTAAGAAGTTACTGATGTTTTGAATAATTCACCTAATAGCATGAAAAGATGACAGAATAAACAAGCCAGTCGTGAAACATTCTTATTTTTACTTATTTATTCAAATCAACATTATAATTATAAAATATGTTAAAAATGCTGTGCAAATAAGATTCCTGTACAAAAAGTCGAGTTTAATGTGAGTGAATAATTAAACTTCACAAAAATTTTATGAACTCAATACTTTTTACAAATATATTTACATCTGTACCAAACAGAGAGCTTCAATAAAGACACATAGTGTGAAAAAAAATACTTAAATACAGTGCTGGAGTTAAGCTTTGTGTTTCTTAGTACATTTAAATGAAATACAATATAGGCTTTTTGATATTATACATAAAAGTTAAGGAAATAAAAAGTCACTATAAACATACCGGGTGAGTAATAAAAGTGCAGAGATTAAAAAATGTGGATAATGCTTCATACAGAGTCAGCAGTGCCCTTCAATGGTTATTTTTTTCCCTTTAAATTTAACCAAAACAAGGTTGTGTTCATATTCTGGGGACACAAAGATTTGTTCCTCACTTTTAACCACAGTGTTGTCAGCATTTTCGCCACAATTACTATAAACAGACACCTGCACAGGAAGAAAATACAGGAAACTATTTTTGGTTTCAGGAGTCCATTCATATTCAACAAACTATCCATGTAGGGGGCGAACAGTTGACTCTGTCGGCAATTTTAGAACTCGTTGATGATCAACTTTGAGCAGCAAACTTGCACTACAGCAAGGGTGACAATCAGATTCAACATTTCCACTCTCTCTTACAACTTTTTGTGTTAACAGTTGATTTATTGACAAAAGTATGTCCGCCTTTACCACAATAGGTGGTAGCATGCCCCTTTTAGCTTGTGAGGACCTGGACTTCTCTCAGTATGTGCATCGCATCACGTACCAAGACATCAGACAAACAGGTTAGCAAGAAGTCGTCAATGAGTTGTATGGAGAACAATGAAAAGACAGACCTGTACAACAGCTTTATAGTCTTCCGATTGGTAGTTAAGAACCAACAAAGAAAGCAAAGTCTTGGTCAAATAACTTCTCGGGCTGTCTATAGACTGGAGATCATTTTCTTTAGCTTCATCACCTCTTCAGGGGTGAGTTGCATAATAGGAGTGGGACCAGAACCGAGCATGGGCAAAGTTTGAGGTGCTCTCTGTGGTTTCTCCTTCCTCACCAGGATCACGTCGTCATCGTAGGGTTTAGAGGTTGGAAACTCTTGTTTGATTGCAAGGGGACTGTGTGAGTCAAATTTCATGTGCGTGTCTTTGTCAAAAGTAGACCACAAGCTTGGGGATTTGGAGGTGTAAGACTTGAAATCTGTCTGATCAAATGGATAGACATCTTGACTCACAGCATTTTTCAGGATGCCACCTGGAGGCACAAGCTTGTAGCTGGTGAAGGGGTTTGGGCCCGTATTGAGGGGAGGACTCGATGTTTGGATGGATGGCACCGTGGGGCTTGGCAAGTTCCCCTTCCTCAGCCTTAGATCTTCAGCGACCGGAGTCTGGTGTTGTGAATTTGCCTGGGATTGCACGTTTGTGGGGAGGACATCTACGTCAGAGCTGCTGCTTTGTTCTCCCAGAGAGGGAAGAGTGGTCGTGAGCTGCTTTAGTCCCTGCATCGTGACTGATGACCCACACAACTTCAGCCAGTTATGGAACAGAGACAGCGGTATCTCGATCTCCATCTTGCCTCCATTCCCTCCGGTGAGGGAGGGCAGGATTTGACTGAGATTGAGGTCTCTTAGATCTGAATACCGATCTCCTTCCTCTTTTGGCAGGATTGGAAAGTCTGTTTTTGGCGAGCTGGGTTTTCCGACTGAAGATGCTGTGTCTTCGCCACTAGAAAGTGAGACATATCTTGGGCTGCTTGAGGTTTTTATGGCCTTGACGTCCATGATGTATGCCTCTCTGTCTTTCGAAGGGTGTGAATACAATCGATCCTCTGAAGCAGCCTCATTATCTTGTGCTTCACTTCCTTCGTGTCTGACGTTTGGGCTTTGAGGAGCATACAACGTGGAGGGTTTGTTCAGGAACTTTGGATTCTTGCTTGATGAAGGCTGGCTGAAGGAGGAGACGGGGTTACTGTTGGCTGGTTGTTGTGAAGCTTTGACGCTGAGGTTGAGAGGCTCAGACAATCCAGATGAGGTCTTGTACTGTTCTGAGAGGGAACGCAGACGCTCCAGTGGTTCTTTGACTTGTTCAAGTGGGTTTGGACGAGATGGCTGGAAACCGAACCAGGGCTGTGTGACAGGGGGGTTCAATGGTGTCAGAACTGGGGAGGAGATGGAGACATGAGGGCTCTGAACTGGGTGAGTTTGGCGGTAGAATGGAGGGTAGGGTAGCGGCAGGGGGAAGACCCTCCCACGTGGATCCGACTCCATGGGGTTCTGTACGAAAGAGAAGATGAATCACGTTAATTTTTGAGATAAGATCAGGAGATTGACGCCCCCTTTTCACATTTAAAAGATAAATAATACCAACCTGCTGCAGAGGCATCGACATCAGTCTGCGCTTAGCTGGTCTTTGCCCATCAGGGTCTTCTTTGCTGAAATCGGCAAAGGGGAAAGGCTTTGGCCGATGCTGAGGCAGTAAGCTCACTGTGATGCCTTTCTTGTGGCATTCGTAGGGCAGAAGCAGCCTGTAAAAATGCCACATTAGATCAATACAGCATTATAAAAACATTCCATTCAGGTGAACAAATGCCAGTGAAGTCATTAACTCACTTCTCATAGTGTCGGCGGGTGCAGGTAGCTGCACTCGTGCTTTTCGGGTTTCCTCCCAGCATGTTGTACACTTGTTTCCACATTTGCTGTGCAGTCACCTGGAAGAGTGCAGATAAAGTGTTTAATTAGGTGTTTTGCCTTCATTGAATGAAGTGCTCTGCATGGATTCATCCCACATGCCCATTTATTTACAGCTTTCCAATGAGAGTTTGTGGCCTTCATAACAATAAGACTTTATTATAATAGATGCCTAATGTCAGTTCACCTATTCACATAATATTATAAGATGCACAAGAGCGGCTGTTTTAAAATCAAAACTGAACACAAAAGTAACTAAAATACAATGATATCTGTGTACCAGAGTAGATCATCCAATTTAATCAATAACTTAAATAAATAAGTAAATAAATAAGTAAGTAAAAAAATAAATAAATAATAACATAAACGTTGAGGATTAGAAGTTTGAAGTTACCTGGTGGTAGCCTCCCATTTCTTGGACAGTTTTGTACATCACATACAGATCAACTGAAAAATAGGAAGAATTCACGATAAGAATTCACACAGTTTAGAATTAAAATGTTCATTAAATTTGCAATTACATAACTTTTCAATGAACTAAAGGAATATTTGTGCCTTCTCTTGAGTCAAACATGACAACACCGGTAATCAGATTTATGTGACAAATCTTCATCTATCACTAAAAATCTACATTTTACATACCAGGACAGAACATTCCTGCATTTTAAAAGCTACAACTATAAATCTGTAGCTATTTTTCTAGTCTAGTCTAGTCTGGTACAGCAACAATTTTTTGCTGTTTTTCTCGGATCGGTCACTAAAAAGTCAGTCAGTCATTCCCGTGATGCCAGTTGGCTTACAGGCAGCAACAAAGTGCTTGTTAATTTGAAACCATATCAGTTTCAAATATATTCAATATCATTACTATGTTTTTCCTGAGGGTAGATTTTTAAAAAGGCTTAGATTGTTATTTTTGTCAGCTAAACCTCATTATTTAATCATTTGACTCAAATTTTCCATAAAAAAGATCAGGTTTATGTAATAAAAGGTAAACAAAATTTAATTTATAAATTGGCAGAAGCTCTTTGAAGAAATAATGTAAATAAAAGAGGTCTGTTTTGATGATGAAAAACACATGAAATGTCTGATAAAGCGACTTCTTTAAACTCTAAAACTGCATAAGACAATGTGATAAAATTAAACATATTGAAAATTACTTTGTTTGAAGCCCAGATTTGGGATCCTTTCGATGGGAGTATCTCTCTTCTTCATGAAAATGTAGACATCTTTGAGGAACTCTCTCTCTTTATTCTCCTCCGCCGGGTCTTTGGGTTTCTCCTCTTGGAACTGTAGTGTGCCGAGGGCCATACCTGCCTGGACCTGAGGCGATTACAAAACAAACATTTCTCATTGCTTACGTCCAAATTTTGGAGCAGAGATAACCACAGGTCTGTCTGAATCTGCCCCATCAAAAACACGTAAATCTGAGATCTTTGTGTCCACTGACTGTTTTAACAGACACACTTAAAAATGGAATCAACGCGCTATATTATTCAGCTGTTTCCACTATTTTCTCTCATATACAGTATAGATAAGCCCGTAATTTAAATATCTAATCCAGAAGTATAACTTTGTGTAAAAGTTTCAGATTTTGTTTAAATTTTTATCATCTATTTTAATTTTGAGTATCAACTATTTATTAAAATCTTGTGAGGTTATCATTCCCATGCATTCAGAATCCTAACAACTCATGTTTCTGATTCTTTCCCGCATAGTTGCACGACAACAATAACTGTATGGAAACTACGAGTTTAACTCTCGTACAGAAAAATCAATATTATAAATATATGTATAATAAATAAAATCACAGAGAATGTATTGTTTTTTCCTCACCTGTGTTTCCATGGCCAGAATAGGCATAGATCATATTATGATGAGTAAGAGCAATAGGTCGATGTTCCCTCCGTTGAGCTCTGAGAGACTGGAAATCAGTGCAGTCAGTACAAATTGTGTTGTCGTGTCACTCACACACCTGTTCCAGGTATCTGTGTGACAGTGCCGGTGACTGACAGTGGGGGTGTTGACTTCAACGTCTTCCTGCAGAGATTTCCATCGTCGGACAGGTTCGACCTGATCCTGAGTATGTACCAAATACACTTCACCCTGATACTACTCAGATATTAACAGAATAATGAGGAAAGCTCGTGAAATTAGTACTTTAATGTGGACTCATGTTTGAAATGTAAAAAGTATTGTGTTTATAATGAAAGCCGGTGTCTTTGTTGTACAATCAAACTAAACTTTAATGCACTGACATCAAGCGACAGATCTTAAAGGAAGATAATCCAGTCTGTAGACAAAAATCTACTGATGCAAGTAAATATGTCATTGTCTTTAAATACAATATTTTGAAAATATTGAAATAGCCACTTTTTCACATCAATATAGTTGTTTGCAAATCCAAAAGTTCGATTTATTGTTGGGCTGAATTGTGTAGGCGGGACTGTGGCTGTTTGCAGTATGACACATCCTTTTTGGACAGTATCAGCCACAATGACACGTTGGCATCATTCATGACAACAACGAAAAGCGTTCATGAGCAAACCTTTTGAATTGAAATGCATAACTTGAGGCATCAAAACATGTTTGAAATGTGAAGAGAAATTTCAAATTCACAACCAAACTTTTAGGGTTGCAATTAAGAGTTGGTGTAAGAAAATTTGTTTACAGCCAGAGACAATGGGGAGCTGTAACATCAAAAAAGGTCTATACATTTTCTTCAACTGTTATTTATTTTTTATTTTTTTGTAAATTCTGGGTTTGAAGACAGAATTCTGATTCTTATCTAATGCTGTGTTCCAGTTACCTCTGAAGTTAGATGTTGGAGCTGGGAATGACGCTACACCTGAGTTGACGGCGTTCCAGTAAACAAGTCAGAAAACCAAGACGGACACCTACTGTTAGCCGATGTTAGCTGTTGTTTACAATTGTCAACTGTTGTTAGCTGTTGTCAGTTGTTGTTCGCTTTACCACTTGTAAACAACGCATAGCACAATATTTTCGGAAAGTCCGACTTCAGGGGGGCGTTCCACATGAATTTCCGACTCGGAGCTCAGAAATCCCGACTTCCAACTACAACTGGAACACAGCCTTAGAATTCTGAGATTCAAAGCAGAATTCTGAGGTAAAATTTAAAAAGTCAGAATTCTGCATAAATTGTGAATTTTATTACTTTTTTCTCAGAAATCTCAGTTGAGTTTGAACTTTTTTCTTAGAATTCTAAAATAAAAATTTGAATTCTGAGGTTGAATTGAAACTTAAGAGACTCAGGACTGAATTGTAAGTAAAAAAAAGAGATTTCTCTCCTCATTATTCTGAGATTAGAATTCTGAGATTAAAAGTTTCATTCTGAGACCAAAGTTAGAATTCTGAATAAAAGTTAGAGTTCTGTGGTTAATTAAAAAAAAGAGATATGAGGCAGAATTCTGTGTGAAAAGTGAGATCACTTTTTTAACTTCAAACACTGAATAGACATAAAGCCTCCCATTTTCACTATGGTTCTGTCACTAAAAATAAACTGTATGTTTATTAACTTTACATAACAATGTTCACATGTTGATTTGGTGTGTCTGTAACCAGTCACGTGTGAAATGTCCATAAAATTTCAGTCCTGAGCACCAAAGGACTTGGACACGTGACTCAAAGGTCTTCAGCTCAATCACCACCACAATACAGTAATAAAAGACAAGGCTGCTCCTGCCTGTGTTTAATTAAGCTGTAAAATCTCATCAATTATAACAATAAAACAGCAGCACAATTTACCTTGCATTACGTAACAACATGTTTTCATCAGGTAATAAATTTTAATGATGGCACAACACACCAGAGCTTCTTTTCGTCGTGAATGTTTGCCTCTAAATCCATTGTGTGGAATAATAATGGCGATAAACATTTATGCTCAACAACAAAACAAATTTCATTCTTGTTTGATGACAGTGTTAGCATCAGCCTATTCAAAGCCTGTGACCTGCCCACCAGTGACGAAAAAAGTCCAAATGACACACCTGAGCCTATAATTAACATGACTGGACAAACCTCTTAATTATCAACATGATCGTAAAACATATTCACAAAAAGTCTTTATGTAACAGTCACTGAAAAGATAGAGGATTATGTGTATTAGACGGTCCTATTGAAAGGGATTTAGACTTTTAACATGAATAAAAGATTAATCCTAGTTGCAATTAACAGAAATTGTATTAATTAACTCAATTCCAATGCCTAACAGGTGTGAAAAATCTTGATAAAATCTGGTTATGATGGTTTGCCAAACATTTAAACCCCATAGTCACCTAAGAATACAAAGACAAGGAATCTGATGCTGAAACTGAAGAAGTCATTTCATATTTGATGCCAGCAAAAACTTTGAGATAACAACAAACTTTCCACTTGTTAGTTATACATTTTAGTATAAACAAGGAACTGTTTATTTACTACTACTTTACTATTTTTGAGGGGACTGTGTGTGCAACAATTTCAGAATCATGTTTCTTAGTATAAAACAAATCTTTTGGAGATTTCATTATCTACAGCACTTACTAAAAGATTTGGGGGAAAGCCACAATCGTCAAGCTCTATGGTACCGCATAAAAAAGAGGCATGACTCTGTAGTAGAAAGCACCACATTGGCTCAAAAACATTTGCAGAAAACAGTGTTTGTAAACATAATTTAATGCAGGTTAAACTGTACTGTGCAGTTTCTTGGAAATCTCAGTTCAGTTTGAATTTTGACCTTTTTTTCTTAGAATTCTTAAATAAAAATTTGAATTCTGAGGTTGAATTAAAACTTCTGAGACAAGACTGAATTGTAAGTAAAAAATGAGATTTCTGTCTTTCTTGTTATTATATATATATGGGGTATGTATGGCTTAGTGGACTAAGTAACCCACATATAGAGCCTGTGGTCCTCATTGCAATGAAGGTTCTGATAGTTTTGACATTTTCATTAGTTTTCATCGATATTTTGTTCCGACGTTTTTTATAATTTCAGCTTTGATTAATTTTAAGCTGAATTTGAAATAAGTGTAAGTTTATTCTCATAAGATTCTGTGTTTTTATTACATTTTTAAATTTTTTAAAATACTCACTTCCCAGTAAGAGTAACAAACTCAAAAGCACCATCTTATTTTGCTGTTTGCTTTATCAGAGACAACTCTTCTGTTTAAATTAACTGTATGTCAGATGTTACAACACATATGCAGAAAATGCTATTTAATGGTGTGTGGTCTAACATACTTTTGGCCACCCCAGCAGCGTCATTCCCCGGGTTGGGCCACCCAAGTCCTAAAAGTCTGGATACACCCCTGCTCACTTGGCTTACCTTGCTCGGTGCATGTTATTTTAACAACAGAGTGAGTCATGCTGATCAGAGGTTTCTGTTGATGTATCAGAGGGGACTACAGTGAAAGACAGGGGGTTGACTTGTCGGTAAAAGTTAGAAAACTTGTCTGGGATGTGTTTTAATGCAAAGCTCTGCTTTCTGTATTTGTTTAAGTTACTGTGGATCACCCATCATCAATCCCTCTCTCACACTGCCATCAACAGAAACCAATAAGAGGTCAATTCATCTGGATAATTAAAAATCTGTTTTCTGTATTTACTTGGTGAAATCTCTTCATCTTCAAATCAATACAATCATATCTCTCATAAAACTCCCTACAAGAGCTTTAAGGTGCAAAACAAAGAGCACAGTAATAGACACAGACTGGAAGTGCCTCATAAAATAAATAAATAAATAAAAAGAACAGAAGTGAGGAATAACCTCATCAGGTATTTAGTAATGATAGTAGTAGTTGCTTCACTCTGAAACATATTTTCATTGGACTGCAATGTTTTCCTGCATCAAAACCTGCCAATCTTCTCTTTGTGTGTTCAGATCATGGGAGTTATCAGGGTGTGGCTTGTTATGCAACTGTATTTACTGTTTTAAACTAACAGTACAAACGTAGAAAAGCTGACCTGGATATTACAAGAATGACAAATGGATGAAAGTTATTTTAATCCCTTGTAGTTTGTCGATGACTGAAGTCCTTTTGTGTTGAATCATGCGGAGGTGATGAGGCATGCTTGCAGTTATGTCTCGTTTGATTCCAGCAGAAGCTCATCGGTCATTAGTTTTGGCTTTGGCTTGGAACAAACAGTTGCCTGTGTTGGCGCTGTTGACATAAAGGGGTCAGGCAGGTTAAGGAAGAAAGATGAATGAATGGTGACCTAGAAAAAAACAAAATGTGTATTGGTCAAGAGAGGAATGTTATTTACAATTGTCCAAAAATAGACCTGGACGTGCTCAAGGAAATGTGATTGATTTC